TCAACGCATTACAGTCCTGAATGGCTCCCTATGAGGTGACTTCAGGATCGTCACGATTTCACTGCACCCTGGTTGAAATCATTGCTCTGGATTAGAACCCCAGGAATGTTGTCTATATTGTTTAACAAAGTAAACAATCCATAGGCGTGCGCAGCCTATTGTATAAGGGCGTGCACCCTAAAGCACAAACACACATGCTGCGTGTGTGTGTATATATATATATATTTATATATATATATATATATATATATACACATATACACATACACACACACACATACTGCTGTGTGTGTGTGTATATATATATATATACATATACACATACACACACACATACTGCTGTGTGTGTGTGTGTGTGTGTGTAAGGGCACTGTGTGTGTAAGGGTGCTGTGTGTGTGAGGGTGCTGTTAGTGTGTATGTGTGAGGGTGCTGTTAGTGTGTATGTGTGATGGTGCTGTGTGTGTGAAGGTGCTGTTCGTGTGTGTGTGTAAGGGTGCTGTGTGTGTATGTGTGATGGTGCTGTGTGTGTAAGGGTGCTATGTGTGTGTATAAGGGTGCTGTTAATGTGTGTGTGTAAGGGTGTATGTGTTGTATGTGTGTAGATGTGTGTGGGGGGGTGCTGTATGTTTGGGTGATTGTGTGTATTGTGTGGGGGCCATTTAGTAATATCCCAGGCATAAGGTAGGAAGGGAGGGGGGATCCTTTCTGCTGCTTCCATCCCTGGTGGTCCAGTGGAGAGTGAACTCTAGCCTGCGGGGCTAGAGTTCACTCTCGCGAGATCTGAGCGTTGCCACGGCAATGCTCAGAATCCCGTGAGAGGAACCCGGCGGAGCTACTGGCAAGAGCTCCCCGGGTCCTCTCCTGCCTCCCTCCCTGCGGGTCGGTGGGGAGGAAGGCTGAGAGCACAGCTGGCTCGGATAGTGCCGGCTCTGCATGAGCCGACAGGGGAGTTCCGAGGATTAGGGTAGGCCCAGGCACACGCCTATGAAACAATCCCTGTTTTAGTGATGAAAATAACTTGTTGCCCTTAGATTTTGAGATAATCACAAGAGGCTATATTTTATTTTGCCCATAGCACTTTTTTTTTTTTTTTTAAACATGATAAAATAACTCAATAATGTCTTCTTACAGGAAGTACATGGCAGACAGTGATGTTGATCCTATGTCCATTTGCTTTGATGCTGGGAGGAATGATACTGGCATTAAACATCCGTAACAATAAGTAAGTATCATTTCCAATTTGGGGGGGAAGTTACGTTTAAAGCAATGTTTATTGTGTCGCCTGAAGGTGCAAACAAATCCAGCTTTCAACAAGAAGAGACTCTTGTCTCATTAACCTCCGCACAAGTTGTTTACTTTCCAGAGCAATTCCACTCATCACGTAGGATAGAACTGCTAGAAAAGCAGGCATAGCAATGCGGCATTCTAAGCTACTCCTAGAGCTGAGAGCAGATTAAGGGTTCTCTACGTCCCATCACCTTGGCTACTGTGCAAAGTTGTGATGGTGCTTAAAGTGGCCCTTTAAGTGCAGGATGATAAATGTACTGTAGATCGCCAATGATGACATTATTGTTTACACAATGCTTTTTGATCATGTTTGCAGAAAAAGAAAGCTACTCTCGGCCATGCCCAGTCATTCCAAATCTCTTCATAAAGGAGGTCCTGTGTACACACAGTGTCCCATCACTGAGAAAGTAGAGGGCTCCATGTGCACAGAACCAGACCCCCAAGCATCCACATTGAGACATGGAGAGATCCTGATTGAATGGAAGGATGGAACAGTCACACCACTCTTTGACCCCCAACAAAACTAACAAAGAAGCACAAATAAGAATAATCAACTAACTTTAAACATTTTCCAACATTGGCTTTTCTTTATGACCCCCATGAAAATACGTACAACCTGGACATATGAAAGATCATCTAAATATTGGAAAATTCTGACTGCAGAAAAACCAGCTGCAACCTTGTTATATGTTATAAATGTTATAGCGTGTTGAAGCACAGTAAGATATTACAGATCACATTTGCTAGTCACTTGTGGAATTCACTGCAGTACTTATCAGCCTAGGCCCACAACTACTGCAGAGCAATATTGAATAACGGACATAGCTAGCCTGGAAATAGTAACAAGAAAGCATCAACCTATGGGAGTTAAATCCCATCTCTCTTATTATAGCACAAGAGGAAGGCTGACAATTTTTGCCAGGGGGAATGCATATAAAACACCAAGATGTAGTATGGTCCTAGTCACGCAAAAATTGTGATGGATATGACTGATGAAAGCTGCTGGAGTTGTGAGATGTGGGAATATTTATGCCTGTGAACTCAACCCTACACAGCATAAAGGAGCACACGGAACAGACACACGGGGAGATCTATCAGTGTTCTGTTCTAAAAAATGGTCTAATGTACTAAAACTGTGTCAATCTCTATGGAAATCAGTGGAACCACCAGGTACATTCCATTGGTCACTCATACTTTAAGGTCACTTATAAACACCTCCAGGAACATCGTACATTAACATCATAGTGTGGTTCCTTATTAATAGGCTCCTCCAAGCATCATGGCTGCTTCAGTGATTTCAAGTGATTATGGAGCTTGGAGTCAGTTTGTGCAGCATTTCCATTTTGAAACACTGCACATACCAAATCCAGGTGAACAAAACAGTGACATATGCCGATACATAATTTGCAAATGTTAAAGGAACACTGTAGCGTTAGGAATACAAACGTTATTCCTAACACTATAGTCTCCCTCTCCCTCTGCATCCCCACTTCCAGAAAATGAAAGGTTAGAAATTATTTTTTCACCTGATTACGACAATCTGGGAACCTAGTGCGCATGAGCGGTGAGCTGTGTGCGCATTAGGCCTTCCCTGACACTGGATGTTCTTGTGCACAGCGAGAGGACGTCCAGTGTCGTTAAACTCTATAAAACTGCAGGAAGCCCCTCTGGTAGCTGTCTGGGAGGCACCCACCAGAGGCAGTCTTAACTTGTTAATGTTAATATTGCAGTTTCACTAAAATTGCATTGGTTTACATTGAAGGATTAAGGGGACCCAACCACTTCAATGAGATGTGCCTTTAAAGGGACACTACAGACCCCTTAAGCATTTCAGCTTGATGATGGGCTTTATGTTTGAAGAGTCTGTCCTCTTTTTTCATTTTACAAAGTGCAGATTTCAATAGAAATTGGTGTATTTATAAGTTAACCTTGTTACATCCCACTGACTGTCAGCCACACAACCGGTCCTGTTACTTTCTGGTTTACTTCCTGCCACTTTTGCAAGTTGTTTTTAGATGTACCCCAATAAAACATTAATAATGAAATGCATGTATGTTTTCACTGGGAGTATATCTACTAAACAGTGATTACTATTTTTTTTATTTGGGCAGCTGAGGGCTCCTTTAATTCAAAACAGCATAATTGGAAAAATGTATAAATATTGTGTTTTAATGTAATCACTGAATCTGGTGTTGTGGAGAATTAATAGGAGAGTTACAAAATATTGGCCCCAAAAAAGAGGAAAAACAAGTTAGACAGCTTTGCCAATTTGGTACTTATTATATACTTTTAATTTAACCAAAAATTACTAGAAAATAACAAAATAAAAAAAAACAGTAAACATTACAATGATGTTAAAATGATCATTATATGTTGAGTTAAAACATTTATTTACTGTATTATAGCACCAACATACTCCAGTGAGCAGTACACTATAGGGATAAAATAGTTTATTTGGTTAAATATAGCCAATTTACTTTAATGCATTAAAATATTAGCAAAAAATACAATTAAAAATAAAGTCACTAACCTTTTAAAAGTATTCCTTAGTACACTACAGCTACAGGCAGCCCCCACACCAGGATGCAATGCAGCCATGAAAAGCATGTCATTCTAAGGGGACTGGTCTTATCCCAGTCCAATCAGCATCCTGATATCAGTTTACAGAGTCAGTTCAATGTTTAATGAACCAAGCTGTGTTTTAATATGAGAAAATATGCAGTTTGTGGCTCGGCTCGCTTACTCTTACCTTATCTCTGTCTCTATGTGAATATGCTCAACAACTTAATCCAAATAAACACAGTACATTTATTTGTTCTCTTTAAAAAACACAAAGACTGACTCAAATTACAACACACCATCTCATAGCATGCAATGAATGAAATCACAGTCAAACATCAAGAATTGTCACAATGACATGACCGTTACTAATCTGGAAACAGACTGGTGTGATAGATATTTAACTATATCAGAGAATATCTGCACACTATAGAAGGAAAATCCTTCAAAATAAAAGAATGCTGTAAAATATGTATGTAGATATTAAAGCAATAGTACAAAAGATTGGACTGTGCACAGGTATGTTGTCCAAGGCAGATTTTATTGGATAGGATAGAGCAACATTTTGGGTAAAAAAAAAGGAACCACAACCGTTTCTGTAAAATGAGGAGATTATGGAGCTTAGAGTGACCATTTAACTGCTGGAAAATGGTGTACATTGAACTTACCAAAATTATGTTTTGCACATTGGATAAGAGCACAGTATATGAACTATAAAATAAATGTTTTCTTTGTAGCTTAGTTCAAGTCTTTAGTTTTGTCTTTGACCACTAGATGGCAATATTTACTCATATTAAAGAATATTAAAAAACAACAACAAAAAAAACCTTTCAAATGTATCTTACCCTGAATTTATTTTTTAATGTCACAAATTCCAGCACTGACATACGCAAGGCTATCAATCATTTTCCTATAAGAAAATGTAATTATCCCACTAATTTATAAAGGCGTTTCACAATAGGACAAGTCTAGATCTACCACAGATGGCTTACTGGTATTACATGAAAGGCCACACTTAGTATTACAGTTACCCATTCTATTTATCGTCAATCTGGTAACACAGGAAATGCATTTACTGAGGAGGGATGATAGCATTTACTATTCTGATAATTGTGGTTTGTTTTTGTGCATATTGCGCGCATAGCCAGTAAATGTTACCCCGAGCGAGAGTGAAGGAACTCATTTGCCTCTTTCAGAGTGTCCTGCAAATCTTTGTACCCTGCATATTTACACGCTTCAGGGAGAGACAGCCAGCGGAAATCTTGGTGTTCATCAGAGAGTTTAACCTCTGTATTAAAGTCTTTCAGTTCCGCCAGCCAGTAAATGACAGTTTTGGGCTTCTCGTTAACATTGTAATTTAATTCTTTCCTGAAGCCGTCCACAATGTTGAACTGGCTGGAGTTCAGCCCAGCCTCCTCCTCCGTCTCTCGCAGGGCTGTGGTCAGATCATCTTCTCCGGGGTCCACATGACCTAAAAACACAACGATGTGTAAGCTTTGGGTAAAGTCCAAACCTATTTAGTTCATATTTTAGATTAAGAATGCAGTGATTCAATAGATGTAACGCCTCCTTACTGCTTAAAGGGACACTCTAAGAACTATAACCATTACAGCTTAGTTCAGTGGCTATGGTGAAAAGAGTCTTTGGGCACAGTCCCTTAAGGTTTATGTGCTAGGTGTCTGGAAAAAAATTGGGGACATATAGTAGACTGCAAATGCTCTAACTGCTCATTAGTACACTGCCAACAACTGTCATCAAAATTTCCAACGATGCTCAGTTATCATTACAACGGTAAACAAAATAAAACGGGTCAAAATGTGTGCGTGGTGTGTGCAAAGAAGAAATCGGTCAGTGAAAACCAATTGCTTTCAGTCTGCAATTACCCTCTAAACATGTGAAAATAGAACTGAGAGAATGTGCAGGCAGTACTCATAACTAATGCAAGACAGCCTTCAACCATTAGGTGGTGCTACATAAAACATCCAGCCAGAATACTACGGTACTTCTTATTAAAGAATACAATATCCTTTGAAGATGTACAGACAGTTTTGTCACCCAGGCTAACACACCATTCAGTAATTTGTGTCACTACTGGCAGTTATGTGTGGTTCTGTCTTTCACCACTTCACTTTTATTTTGGGGATATGGTTGGTCAATATCCAGGTCAGGATTTTCTTCGCATTGCATTACTCAAATTTGTTTTTTGTTTTTTTTACAATTTTGTAGAAAAAACCCTAAAGGAAACATGCATGTATATTTTTTGCATGTTTTCTTTGGTTTATATGAATAGCTTGCAAAAGCTGCAGCCCTCCCGTTTCAGTCTGTGCTGTGGAATACACCAATCTCATTGAGAAGCTTCTGTGCTGGCGCAGGGAGCATGCGCACACAATTGCATCTTTCCAAGGTTTCTTAAAGAACTCTATTACAACGCATTGAGAATTGAGGAAGTCAGGCAGGCAGGCACACTTTAGCTTAGCACACCTGCTGCTTCTGTTATATCTGTGGAACACAGTCAAGGAAATGATGCCGCTCCCAATTATAAAAGTGTTGATTTTATTGAAATTGGCACCTTTATAAACTGTCGCAAATATGCCAGACTCAGCAAACTTCACTTACTTTAACTAATAAGTGAAATGTACTGCAGTCAATACTGAACAGCAATGTTCATGCTAAAATAGCCTGGCTGTAAATATAGTTTGGTTGGAGATTATTTCCAAATCAACTACTTTTACCTAAATTTTACATTTTAGTTTTCAAAACTACTCTCTCCAGCAATTTGCTATAACCAAAACTACTCTCTCCAGCAATTTGCTATAACCAAAACTACTCTTCAGTAATTTGCTATAACCAAAACTACTCTTCAGTAATTTGCTATAACCAAAACTACTCTTCAGTAATTTGCTATAACCAAAACTACTCTCTCCAGCAATTTGCTATAACCAAAACTACTCTTCAGTAATTTGCTATAACCAAAACTACTCTTCAGTAATTTGCTATAACCAAAACTACTCTTCAGTAATTTGCTATAACCAAAACTACTCTCTCCAGTAATTTGCTATAACCAAAACTACTATCTCCAGTAATTTGCTATAACCAAAACTACTCTCTCCAGTAATTTGCTATAACCAAAACTACTGTCTCCAGTAATTTGCTATAACCAAAACTACTGTCTCCAGTAATTTGCTATAACCAAAACTACTATCTCCAGTAATTTGCTATTATTCACCAGTACTAGTGCCAGTCATTTACTATAACCAAAACTACTGGCTCTATATTGGCTCAATTGCTGTAATAAAGAACATTTAGATAAATATCAATTTTGCTACTAGGGATTGAGCACACAGTGACTTGCTTTCCTCCAGTTACTTATTCCTACATGATAACCAGCTCAGAGAGCTAGATTGCTACCATTTTGGCTGTAGTAAGTGGCACGATATGTCATGGAAAATTATGCTTATTAGACAGACCACAGAAAACTGCTAATACAGTTATTTATGGAACAAGTCATGTAGCAGCGCCCTAAGATTAAGTTTCAAACTTTAATCTGTGTGGCACTTTAAATGAATGTGTGCAAAATGCAAGTGTGGGCAGTTCTGAATCTGAAAGAGAAACAGCACTTACAAAAATAAAAAAAATATATTCTTTAAGAGCAGTCTTCTTATAATAAATATACGGTAAGTCAAAATGTATTGACAACACTTTCTACAACTGCATTACTTGATTATTCACTAAAGTTAAAATTTTGGGAACAGCAAATCTGAACGAAAATTTAGTTTGACTATTTTAGACACTTTGATTTCCAAGCAATTTATACTTTATTGAATAAGCCCATGCGTAGATGTTTTTCTTCTAAATCTGGGCAAATATATTTGATTTATATCCTGCACTTCTCAATTCAGACTTCTCTGGTAGTTGGGGAAAATTGTGAGACAATTGGGGGAGATTTATCAAAGTGTTCTGAAATGTTATGGTTAAATTACATCATTATATTGATGGTATTTATTAATAATAATCTAAAAATTGTTGGAATTCTTTACAGTAAATTACACCAGTTCAGCCAGAAATTTCCATTGCAAAAGATTGCCATATTCATTGTGGCAGAACCAGCCTTGCCACTGTCCACTGGAGAAGCCTGGTTGCTCGCCTGCTCCCTTTAGACTATGGCCAGGCATTTAAAACTTTTGATTTTCCCTGCAGAAAGGCGTATTAGTGCCTTTCTGCCGGGGTGTTCGGTAGATTCAATCTACCGAACAAAGTACCGAACGATCGACCACCTGGGAACTGGAGTGTGCCGTCAATTGACGACCCAGAAGCTGCAGTTAACCGCAGCTTAATTGACGAACGCTGGGTGGCCTTTGTTCGTTTGCGGAAAACGTGGCAGCGGCCATTTTAACTTCTGAATGGCCAGTGGTGTTCAGCGCCCAAACAATGGAACTGGAAACGGACACTTGTTTGCGCGAACACCGCTGAGCCGTTAGCCTCCTTACCTCTGCATTCGGTAATGGAACTGAATGACTGTTCATTCGGTAGTTTGACCGTATGAACAGCATCACCCCAGATAGCTATGCCATGGAGCCTATTCGTGAAACGAAAGACTATGGAAAAGACTTTGGCTCCATGGTGATTAAACTGTATGTATGTGATCTGAGCGCCATTCGGTAATAATGTGCTCAGATCTAAGCTATCTGGGGATATGTAGAATGTGTGTGTTTTATGTGATAAAGGTAACCGTATGTAATTTTATGTCTTTTTACTGAAAATTTGTGTAATGGAGTTTTGCCTCTGTCCTTGGAGATAATTGGATTACTTCCCAATTATCTCCAGGCCAGAGAGGAGGGATTGTGATGCATTGTGGGATTGTTGAAATGTGTAAGTCTGTGATTGGTCCTTTCACCCTTTGTGTCCCAGTCTTCCATCTTGTCCCCTAGGTGAGACCTGCATAAAAGCCGGACAGGTAGCCCCAGTAAACCAGATTCTGCTTGACCCTCAAAACGAAGTGTCGTCTCGTTCTTGGGGGGAATTGGATTGTATGCCGATTGCCAGGAGTGTAAGCTGATTGTATGCTTTTCCTGTTCGGCTGTTTCCAGTATTCGTGTGTTTCCGGTTCGGGAGTTGGAGGATTTGTGTAGTTTGCAGCTCGGGAGATTGGTGCTTGCAGTAGCTGTCCGTGCATCTGGAAAGGGGAATATCGCCTAACCGGTTTTTAACCTCTTGTGTGCAAAACGGTCCGTTACATTCATAAAGGCTGGAAAAATTCCATCACTCTACTTTTGGAAAAATTTATAAATCTGTTGCTGGAAAAAATATGTATATTCAAAAATGATGGGTATGGTGCAATAGAAGCAACAGATGGAAAAAGAAATCTGGGTAAATTGTGCCAAAAATCAACTGAAAAATGGATGCAAACGTGTCAACACAACAAAGCTCCACCAATGTACTGTCCTGCTGGACCTAGGGCAGGTGAAAGTGATACAGTATGTGTATATTGACAAAATGTAAATAACTTTTAGAAGGTGTAGATGAGGGAAAAACAGATCTATCATTCATAAATGCTGCAGAGATATGTCTAGAAATGGATATAATTAATTCAAGTCCTTAACACATCAAGGTCACCTTTGGGAGGGGTCCAGTGGTGGATGCCATAGGAAGTCTGCAGAAGAAGAAATTCGATATCATTCATGTTACAAGCTGGGATTCCTGATTTAATCTTCCTGAAGATGATCAAACCACAGGCTCTTAATGCCATGTTATCGAACCCTAACAGTACAAGCAAACAGGAAAAAGAAAAGGCGTGTTAGGGAGAAAGAGAAACTTTATATGACACGGAGGTGTTTCACGTTTTTTAGCTGGGCTGAAGAACACTACCAGCAGCCCATCTAGTAGTAGACGTCATTATACACAAAGAATGAGTCCTCTCCGGTTGGAAGGGTAATCACAAGAAAGGGTGCAAATACATTTTGGGTAAGAACTATTAAAATGGCAGGAGGTCACTGAAATGGCATGGGAGCAGAGTTGTCCTGCACAGAGTTGGAAAGCTAGGGACACTTGTGGGGAAATAGTAAGTGACACAAAAATAGACTAGGCCACTCACCCTCAGACACTCCATTCAAAGACATCTGTGCATTTCACACAAGAGCTACCATACAAACACATCCCTGAATTCAAACACTCTGACACAGTGCATAAATAAATTGCTGTATTCCCAAAAACAAAGGCACTCCTTTACAAATATATCTCTGCACTTACATACACCCATTGACACTCCACACAAATAAAGTCCAACTTTTACACAACCTGATAGCACATACACAGGAACAAAATCCACACTGGTCCTTCTCATACATATAATGATCCCGCATACATCGTTGCACTCACACAGTGTAACCATCCACGTAAATATAGACCTGCATGGACTCACACACACACTGACCATCCAACTACACCACTACATTCTAACATACAGTGTTTCTCAATGCTAATACACACACACACACACTAACCCTATAATAATACACAGGAACATACACACTGATCCTTCAACAAAACAACAAAGAATTGACACACTGCTGCACTTCACACAAATATACACATACACACTAACCTAATACATTTTTATATATGCACTCTGACCCACCGCATAATTTCAACTCAGCATTCACACTGATCCTCAATGCAAAAGCATACATGCTGTCAGACATATTATGCTAAGAAAACATGAATATTAAGAAAAACAACATCAGTCTTTTTGTAGCTGTTTAAAACCAAATAGTGGTATAATGTTTTTCTGACATTGAGAAAAAGTTGTTGAAACCCAAATGTCTTTTTATACAATGGTCTAATTCAATTTACGACATAAACCACTTTAACTAAGACAGTAAACAAATAGATTTTGCTGATTCTGTCCAGTTATAAATTAGTATGTGCTAACAATACAGAGGCTTTCATCTCACGGTGAATAAGAAAAAGACTTAAAGTCCAGATCACAACTTGTCAAGAAATAAGAATGGGGGTGAACACTGCCATTCAGTGTCTCTACCCTCTGCTGGGAGACACTGAACTTTCCTCATAGAAATGCATTGATTGTTTGGTTCCGCCCCTCCCGTCCACCTCCTTGGCTGAGATTACAGAATTGACAATCTTAGCCAATCCAATGGGAAAGCATTGTGATTGGCTAAGATAACATTAATACTCTAAGATAATTAAGAGTAGGGATCGACCGGTTATCGGTTTTGCCGATATTATCGGCTGATATTCCGATGTTTTTGTAAGTATCCGTATTGGCTGATAATCACCGGCAATACCGATAATGCATGGGTGGGCTGGCGCGTCCATAAGGCGGCACAAGCGTCCGCCTTAGGGCGCAACGGACCGGGTGGGGGGGGCACTAGATAGGAGTCACCGGCAGGATGTGTTATGTCTTATGTTTCCTGTACCTGGCCAGACTGAAAGAAGTGCTCACTAAGAGAACACTTCCTGTCAGTCAGGCCAGGTACAGGAGACTGAATCTCCTGTACCGTGGTGCGCACTGCTCCACTCGGCCACGCAACCAAGGAGGGGAGATACACACCGGGGACCAAGGAGGGGAAAGAGAGAGGGGCACCAAGGGACGGAAGGGGGGTGGTAAGAATCACTATGGGACGGGTGTGGTAGAACACTATGGGACAAGGGGTGGGGGTGGTAAGGAACACTAGGGGGGAGAGAGGAACATTAAGGGAGGACACTAAGGTACAGGGGAGGGAAGGGAAAAGGAACACTGGGGTTGGGGGGTGGCACTAAAAGAGAAGGGAGAGGAACATTAAGGGGAATGGGGGGACAGATAAGGGGGGCACTAAGAGACAGGTAAGGGGTGGGGAAGGTCCTTCCGCACATATTTACACACAAACACACTGCATTCACCACACACACACACACACACTGAATCCACTACCCACACTGTATCCACTACACAAACACATTGCATCCACTACCCACACACACAATGCATCCACTACACAAACAAATACTCTCACTGCATCCACTACACACACACACAAATATTCTTGAAAACATAAAAAAAAACCTGACTGGCATGTATATTTTGTGCATTTACCAGCTAATAAAAAAAAAGATTTGCAAAAAAATAAATAAATACGGTAAATGTACACAATATCGGTAAGCTATCGGCCTGAAAGAAAATCAATATCGGTCGATCTCTAATTATGAGTATTAAGATAAGATTAATACCCTACTGCATTCAAAGTCACTCCATACATACTGACACATCACACAAATACATGTACACATGTAAAAAATATATATATATACCCCCAACATACACCATGACCCATCACCTTCCTTTATTAATAGAATTCGCAAAAACACACAAATGCACCCCTATACTCACAAAGAAATGTACACAACCCATACATTCATAAACACCCTGGCACTCCACACAAATTTGCGCTAGATAAAATCAAATACAATATGACTAAATGTGTTAGTGCAAAGATAAAACAGTGTAATATTTACTATACATTGTGTAAAGAAAATATTAAAATATATATATATATATATATATATATATATATATATACACATACAAGTAATAAAGTCAATAGAGCAAATGCCAGCTAGGTTAAAATCACTTATTACTCACAAGTGCAAATGTTAACCTAGGCACACAGTTTGATAAAGTAAGTGATGAATAATTGGGCTTGTGAATTTGAAACCAGTCAGCATCTGCCTCTGACCACAACAGACATCTTCCAGACAGCAGGGGCTGGGAAAACCTGGATTAACAGGGCCCTTATTGAAACCCTATATTTAAAGTGCACCTGTCATGAGGAAAAACTGGTGCCAATTTACAAGGAATAAAATTTCATCTTATAAATTGTGATAGCCATACTGCTAGCAAATGTTTAGTTTAGCCTTGGATTTTTTTGTCCCGATTCTGCCTGTGTTGTTAAGCCAAACAATATGGTTCCATTTGAGGAGCAGGCTGTTCAGCCTTATTAAATAAGGCAATGACATCAGTGCTGTGATACATGACAGTAAAAAACAAGCAAAACCATTTTTTTGGTGACTCACAACAGTATATTAGCAATCTTTAAACCTTCCACTCCTATGTAGAAATCTAGATATTGCGGTATTTTTATTACTCAGCATAATGACCAGTTCAGAGTTCTGCAAATACAGAAACAGCTATTGGATGGCTTCCAGGCAGTCAATTGATATCCACATACTTCTGCTCTATCATTGTCCTAATAAAATAGTATACCGCATGGCACTTGTTTAATTAAAGATTTTAATCTTTTTGTTTAAACTTCTATTTTACTATTCGCTATATGGTACCATAATTCAAGGGACCACTCATCTTTGTAACTAACTGTTGAGGGATACCAATTAAATCAATGACTCTATGATGCAAGTATTTACCTTGAAGTGACCTTATGTAAAGCGTGTAGTAGGAATTATTGGAGTTAAACATTGAACCCATAAGCAAGAAATCAAGCGGTCACAAGGATGCTGGAAGCACAAGTAGGCACACTGTTTAGGAAATCAAGCTCTCCAATTGCTATCTCAATATCTACATAGCCAAAAGAGGAAGTATAACTTACTGATGTACTTTTGCAGTCATGATTAAAGAAATACTCCAAACACTATAATAACTACAATGTGGTGTAGTGGTTATGGTGCCAAGAGTGACCAGGTGCCCCAACCAATGTAATGAGTCAAACTGATAACATTTAGATTTTTTTTACCTGGGGTCTATTGGGTGCTGTTCCCAGCCTCTAGTCTTGTTATTGCAAGGAACATCTGTTAGCTCAACTGAGCTAAGCCCTGATACATTTGGCTTAGCTCAGAGCTCTTGATTAAGCAGGGAGAGGCTACCAGCAAACCCAGGTAAGAGGTCAGACTGTTAGCAAACGGTTTAAGTGCTTACATTGTGAGGGAATATGGGGTAAAAAAGGGGACATGCAGTGGTTTAACTGCATGTCCCCTCTGCTTTTTAGAAAAGTGTTGATTTTGACAAATATCTGTACTTTTTTTTTTTTATAAATGCCTTTAGCAACGCATTTCAGCTCCCTCACTTGCCTTGAATCAGAAAAATAGAAGTGTGTATTTCTCATAGAGAAACACTGGTTTCAATGCTTACTTCTCCAGAAGAAGCACAATGTGGGAACTGTGGTAATAATAAAAACTGTATAGTGTATTACTGACACTGTGCAATTAGTAAGGCCCAAATAGTGCAGTGCTGTGAAACACGAGTCCAAGCTTGCATGAGATTAGTGAAAGTTATACTTCTGAACAGCAGCTGCTGCTATTAATGCAGTCTTTCTACCGATGTTGGAAAAGGAGCAAGGGGGACAGTGACATATTCTCTCCAAACATGCAACAACATAAGTATTGAATTAAGGACAGCAGCTGCTGTTGTGAGTGCCACCCCCCATCAATCTAGGGTAGGCCAGGACACTTAAACCTTGGTGCTACCATGCAATGAAAGACACATCTAGGTTATAAAAGATGTCCTGGCTCTGAACAGCTTCACAAACCACTTCAACTTTAATCTTGTGGTCTATTACGAAGTTTCCAGAACTCCTTGATGGCATTCTTTTTCCTAATAGGGTTAAGCAACCTTTGGCACTTAAGATGCTGTGCCACAATGCCAGCAAAGCATAAGGGGAGATGTAGTCCACAATATCTGGAGTTCCGAAGGTTGCCTATGAATGGCTTACAGTACATAGAGTGTCCCTTTAAAGTTAGAATTATTTTAATCTTAGAACATATGTCCCATTCTATCCAAGATTATGGAGTTACAATCCTAGAAAAGCTGGTATTTGTTGCTGTTACCATTAGTGATATGCTGGCAGAGGAACTAGGGAGTGACAATTACACTGTCCCTGTCTCCCCAGACCCTGGCATGGCATATCACTAACATTACAGGGACTGCATTAACGTTACCAGTTAATGTCTGGCAGGTAACTCCCCTTTACACCTTAAGGACACAACTTCTGGAATAAAAGGGAATCATAATGGAATATTTCCGTCATGTGTCATTAACGGGTTAATCCCATGTAGAAAAAAACTAAAATGCTAACTTTTTCATTGCACAGTGTGTATTTTTACTGTGTCAAACGGTGAGCAGGCTCAATCTCAGTTTGGGTCTTTCTCCAGTCTGGACAATATTCAATAAAGGAGATGTTGCAGTTTGTGTTCTTTTTTTCTGTGAAGCTTAACAATTAATTAGGATTGGTATATAAGTTTCACTATCTACCGCGGTGATATAAATGAGTGAATTCCAAACAATTTCCTTTAACTTCACTAATCTCAAGCAGGCTGTATGTAAATTCTAGTGCTGCTCTGAGATCAGGGGCTCCGAACAGTCACACTGTGCATTACAGCCCACCGGAGTGGTTATTGTGCCAGGAGTGCCCTGCAGCCATCCCATGGTGAGATGTCAAACTGTGTTAGTACACCCAAGCCATATCTGGTCCTCTCCAGAAGAAGCCAGCTTTCAAAGTTTAGAACAAAGCAAAACCTCAATTGTTGACTGAGTATCAGCCGAGCACTATCATGCATCAGGTCACTTTGCTCAAAAGAGCAATATGGCCCAGTCTGCTGGAGAAGACCAGATGCTACCGATATGGCACAGGCGCCTGGCAGGACCTAATTAAGTTGTCAAACCATGGTAAACGGCTGAACAGCTTACTGTTGGACAGATGCAACATATACACTACAGTGAGTATATGTTTACACTTGTTATCAGAATTAAAGGACCTCTCTGGGCACCATAACAACGTAATTGCAAAGAAGTGATATTGGTAAAAGAAGGTCATAGGCACTGACTTATCTTAGGAGTTAAAAACAGTTAATGGCTTTAATCTAAACGTCTGCTACTGTGCTTACTCTACATGTTCAAGATTTCAATCAGGAAGCCTCACACCGTGCACAGCTTAAACATGGAGAACATCAGCTAATCCATTTAGAATAGTGAGTGAGAAAGTTAGGTATCTCATTCGCTCATTTTTTCTAAATGGGGAGCTAGTGATAGGCTCAGTCAGCTGATGCTCTCAGTGCTGCCCGGACCAAGGATCCCTGATTGAAACCTGGAACAATCTGAAGAAGTGCAGGGGCAGATACAGACTTTGGGGTTAAACAATTTAAACCACCTCAAGTAAGAGGTCACAGGTTTGTTAATGGAATTCTTTAACCCAGGCCTGCACAACCAGCTGCCCCCAGATGTTTTGAACTACAATGCCCAAGATTCTTTTAATGAAACAGATAGCCTGGGGATTGAGGGAGCTGTAGTTCAAAACATCAAAAAAAGAGGGGAGGTTAACCCATTCAGCACCTGGGACCTCCTCATACCATAAGAACTTAATAGTGAGTACGTTATGATGCCCAGAGGGTCCCTCTAAAACCAAAACATGTTCAGTTGGTTAAGGCCCATTTCAATTGAGCATGTCTGACTTCTATGTTAAACTGCATTGCAACACCCAGAGAACATGTTTTAAAGGGACACTATAGTCACCCAGACCACTTCTGCTCAATGAAGTGGTCTGGGTGCCAGGTCACTCAGGTTTTAACCTTTCAGATGCAAACATAGCAGTTTCAGAGAAACTGCTATGTTTACATTTGGGGTTAAGCCAGCCTCTAGTGGCTGTCTTCTGGACAGCCACTAGAAGCACATCTGCAATAATTGAGGCATATTATGCCTCAATCACTCACAGCGTCCGTAGGAAAGCATTGAAAAATGCTTTCCTATGGACACAGTGCCGCGCATGCACGTTCGGCTCCTGTGATGTCAGATGAGGATGCTGACGTCGGCGGGGGAGGAGAGGTAAGGGAGCCTGGTGCTGGAATTAGGTGAGCTACTGAAGGGGTTTTAACCCCTTCAGCGCCACGGTAGGGGTACCCTCAGGGTACTATAGTGTCAGGAAAACAAATACTATAGTGTCCCTTTAATGGCAAACCAGTCTGATATTGGTGGGATTTGAATATGCCATACAAAGCTCATATGACATGTACTTAGAGCTTTACACCAGGGTCTCATTCCCAGAGAGAAACCCCCACGTGCTGTCTGACGCTCGCTAACAACAATACACTGAGAGTGTCTGCATACATACTGCTCACTTCCGCCTCCCGCAACAGCTTCAATGGAATACACGCGTCATCACTACTGGCCGGAAACAGGCACTCGGAAACACTAAGCGCAGCTCATTCATCAGAGTTCTAAACAACAGAGAAGAGATTGCGGCGACACTTTTGTTTCCTACATCATTCCACCATCTCTAACCTGCCAGAAACCAGGGTACCTGGACCACAGCAGAGCAGCTTGAACAACTATAGTCAGGAAATTCGTGATATTGTACCAGAGAGTGTTCAATTAAAAACTTAAGGCTGGCCTTGGCTCAACTTTTATTTTTAAATACAATCTGGGGTATTGTGGCTGCTGCAATTATTGAGTCCAATCCTGACACTTCCAACAGCTACAATGTTTCTTTCTTCAAGGGTCTGACTAGGCACCATAATCACTAGGAGGTCACTGGCACCATGCCACTTTAAGTAGTCAAACTGTAATAAAAAATAGTAAGTTGTGCAACCTGCCTATGTGAATAAGGAACAATAATATACTTCCCCTTTTTAATTTCTTCAGGAGTTTCAACATACAACACCTTTTAATACACTTTATCAAGATGCTGGGATAATATATCAATACAATGAATATATTATATATTAGAAGACAGAAAGAAACAAAATCATGGTGTATCATTCACTGTGTATTTTGCCGATTTTACAGTCCATCTGTGTGGCATAACCACTTCAGCCCACGAAGAAGGTTGAGGTGGTTAGTGTACAGAGATGGACTGAAGAAGCATCAACAATGCTTCGTACATACCCTGTATACAGCTCAACACCATTCAAGTGGGTTTAATCACAACCTATCATTTTCTGTATCAGATATTACTCTATGATATTTTCTTTCAGTTCTCACTGTATGGATATATCACTCCAGCATCTTTATAAAGTAAAAAAAAAAAAAAAGGGCTGTATATCGATACTCTTGAAGGAGATATAAGGGGAAGTATATTATTATTTACTATTGCGATGACTTCACATAGGCACTTTGCACACCTTACTATTTTTTTTTCATTATTGTACTTTCTATGTCATTTTGTGGAAATGTCGAAGGGAGGAGCAGATTTAGAGATTTTTTTTTCTAGTTAGGCTATTTTGACCTTTAATTTGAAATTACTTTGAATTCTAACTTTAGTGAATAACCCTGCAGTGTAAGAAAAGTAACCGTGGAAACGCCTTTAGCACTGTAGATATGTTTAGTGTAAAGTAGTCAATCTGTGTTTAAACCATTTGACATTTACCTGGGTCTCCATCTGGGCTTCATGTTAAAGCTTGCTAATATGGAATTTATTTATTTGCCATCAGTGATGTTAAAATGACATTCCAAACTCATAAGGCACTTCGGCTTGCTGAAATGCTTAAAGGGACACTCTAGACACCCAGACCACTTCATCTCATTGCAGTGGTCTGGGTGCAGTGTCCTAGTCCCACTTAGTCCTACAATATAAATCATTACAGTTTTTGCAAAATCAGACAGCCACTGGAGGCACTTCATGGTGGTAAAGCAAATTTTTGTCACCTGATGCGGGACGTCCTCACGCTCTGCATGAGAACATCCAACGTCAGTGAAATCCCCATATGACAGCATGGAAGCAGTGCTTTCCAATGGGGAGGGCCTAACGCAATCACCACTTATGCCATGCACATTAGCCCCCACTGTCGGATGACATTGCAGGAGGTGTAGTGCTGGAATCGGGTAAGTGTTAAAAGGTTTTTTATAACCCCCTTGAAGGCTTTGGGTGGGGGGATTTAGTGTAGTGATTCGAACTTTGCATTCCTTACACTATAGAATCCCTTTAAGGAGCTAACTGCATGCCCCCCTTTAGTGCCCATTTCACTTTCTTATGACCTTATGAGAAGCATTTTAATAGCAATTACTCAAACTGATTTGCACATTTTTGTCAGTTTCTACACATGTGGAAAATTTCACTGGATAGGAAGGGGAATCTATCACCACTGACAGTTGCCCCAGTGTGGAGCCGAGAAACAGTGGGAGGGAATTTGCTGCTGAATAATAAGATAAAATCTTTGTTTTAATTAATTCAGGGAGGGGTGCCCGGCACTGTCCTTAAAGGACTACTATAGGCATCCAGACAACTTCAGCTCAATGAAGTGGTTTGGGTGCCAGGTCCTCAATGTTAACATAACTGCTATGTTAACATTGAGGGTTAATCCATCCTCTAGGTGCTGTCTCCCTGACAGCCACTAAAGGCCGCTTCCGTGATCTTCAATGCTAAAATCGCATTGAAGACACGCTGACGTCCATAGGAAAGCATTGAATAATGCTTTCCTTTGGGCGGTTTGAATACGTGCGCGGCTCTGGCCATGAATGCGCATTTGGAGCTGACGTCGGCAGTGGGAGGAGAGGTCACCAGCACCGAGGGAGCCCAGCGCTGGATAAAGGTAAGTGGCTGAAGGGGTTTTAAGCCATTCAGCCCAGCAATAGGGGGACCACGAGGGTGGGGGGGACCTCATAACCCTATAGTGCCAGTTAAACAAGTTTGTTTTCCTGGCACGATAATGCTCCTTTAAAGCCCTGAGTGGGTACTTTGCTTTTCCTTTACAGAGTCTGCCCTGTCTGGTATTCACATATGCATAATAGCAAAACTACCAGGTTTATTGCCATTGCGACCAGGTCCTAGAGTTCTTCCTGTCAAGGCCCCACAGCAGACCTATTATTTAGTGTAATGGCAATTTGGCAATATACAAAATTACCACAGGGAGCACTTTAAATGTACCTCGCTGAGCTCAGTGAATGTGTCAAAGCACTACCGTCGGTTTACCGCGACAATACTCCGACTCATTCACTGAACGCCAGAGTGAAAGAGCATTTATGTGGTCTGCGACTACTGGAGATGCAGACCAAATGCTCCCTTAATCGCCACCAGGGATGCAGTCAGTAGGATCGTATACCTACACTGGACAACCAGTGATTATACCCCCTCTCTGAAAAAGGGTTAGCAGCAGGAGGGAAAAAACTTTTTAATCATCCACAACACACTCAGTCAATTGAACTAGATCACGGGTGGCGTCTGCTGGATTGACAGAGGTGGAACTGGAGACTGCAGTAGAGGAGTCTTTGCACTAAAAACAAGGTTATTGCTTTTAAGCTTCACATTTACAGAGCGAATGGGAGTGGACAGCAATCACATTGATATAAGAGAACCTATAGATTCTCCTGCTTGAATTCAGCGGAAGGAAAAGCAATGACTGCAAGGAGAAGTAGGGAGGAGGGGCAGGCACTGTTTGAGAGCACCACAGAGAAAGAAGGGAAGCAGCCAACATTATTTATTGCAGCAGCTTTGGACACCTAATCTGAGAATGGAGAGAGAGAGAGAGACATACATTTTATTGACATACCATAATTTTATTGACATACCATAAAGCTAACATAAAGTGTTGGGGACTTTTAAAGGGACACAATAGGCACCCAGACTACTTCAGCTCTTCGAAGTGGTCTGGGTGCATAGTCCCAGGTCCCTTAATTATTTATTTATAAAATATTTTACCAGGAAAGATACATTGAGATTTCTCTCGTTTTCAAGTATGTCCCTTAATCCTGCAAAGCTAATTATTGCAGTTTTAAACTGCAATAATTTCTTTGTGAGGGTTAACTCCACCTCTAGTGGCTGTCTAGACTAGAGAGACTTTTGGTCACCTAACTGATGCTGGAAATCCTATGCATGAGGACATCGAGCGTCATGTAAAACCCCACAGGAAAGAATTATACTTGGTCTACTATGGGGGAAATAATGCGAACGTGGCCATTGCCGTGCATGCGCATTAGGTCTTCCCCACCGATGTCAGTGAGGAGCAGAGGCGGAGCCTAAACTTGTGCGATAGGCATCGGCACTGGACTCAGGTAAGTGACAGAATGTGTTTTTAATCCCCTCTGCACTGATGGAGAGGGAGGGGGCGCGATGGAGGGTAGGGGGGTAGCAATGTATGGGTCTCTAGTGCCTTGTTTTCTTGGCACAATAGTTTCCCTTTTACCTGTTACGGGAAGCAAGTACAGTATGCTTCCCAAACAGGCATGCAGTATGAGGTGTGTCTTACAGCAAGTGTAACACCCCCTGAAAACATGATTGATGCTCTCAACAGGAAACAGGTTTTAATGGGAATAAATATATATTACGAGCTTGTAATAGTATTAAGAGAAAAAAAACTTAATTATATAACATGAGTCAAGCCAGGTGTTTAGAAATATCTGTCATGACAAATTCACTTTAAATTGACTAAACACCGCAGGAATGAGCATCAGTGGCAATTTAATATGCCTTTGGACTATGTGACAAGCAGGGAGATATCTATAAGCACTTAATGCAACTACACCACAAAATGTAATCGGGGAAGGAGAAATGCAGATACAAAAGGATGACTACTGAAACCACATAAACTATTTATAAGCAGAACAGCAGACACACGCGGTAACTCCATTTAACTTAATGAAAGATAAGTGTGCAATACATCCCTCATTATTTCACTTTTAGAGGGTTTTAGGTCTCCTAGATATATCATGATTTTCTCGATAGCAAATTAAAAGGGCTGCTCTGTAGCATTCATTGCTTACTAGAGAAAAAAAAATCATTAATCCTGGGGGATTCCCCAGATTGCCTTAATTGGTTGATTAATTTGCCTCTGGGCAGCATATAAAATGTACATACTGTAGAGAAGCACTTTACATCTGCTGGCCCGGAAATCATGGTGGATCTGTAAAATAAATCCCATTGTCTTTCCCTTAGAATGAAAATCTTGTGCCCAGAAAAATATGGTGGATCTGGCAATTCTTATAGGGCTATTCATTATTAAAGGGACACTTTAGTCATCTGAACAACTGCAGCCTAATGTAGTTGTTCTGGTGAATATAATCATTAACTGCAGGCAATTTTATGTAAATACTGCCTTTTCAGAGAAAAGGCAGTGTTTACATTGCCCCCCTAAGGACACCTCCAGTGGCCAATCCTCAGATTAAAAAAAAAATTTAAATAAAGCATTTTACTTACCTTTAGCGCTCCGGTCTTGCTGTGGCTACCACTCTTCCCCTGGCTGAGATCTTTAGTACTGATAATATGAGAGCAACTCAAACCAAGAGAGTCATGCCGGCTCAGACGTCGCCCGGATTAACAAGGTCCACATCAGATGCTAGGGAACCAGGGCTATCTGATGACAAGTGGGCTACTGGAACAAATCATTCCTGGACACGGAGAGAGAACCTAGACCTGCTTGAATGCTACTACAACAGCAGACCCAATGAGAGAGGCTACATGAAACGTATGTGAGAGCTATGGATGAATAATCTACCCTAACACCAAAACAGCTGGTTACACAACGTTTAAAGATCTTCAAGAGAAATCTAGAGAACTGGACTACTGAAAAAAATCGACCATACACCATGAGGAGGAAGAAATTCCCATACCCACATTCTTAACCAGAATTGTCAACCTAAATCCATACCATAACAACAGATATATAAGGGAAATTATCCTAGAAAAACTAGCAGTCGTTAACCTGCGGACAAGTCTACCGAAGATCACTGGAAAGCAACCACCCCCACTGAAATGAACAGGCTCATTGGTGGATGACATCAAGCTGTATGCCAAGAATGAGTGAGACATTGACTCACTGATCCACTTAACTAGGATATACATCGGAATGTCGTTTGGACTAGAAGAAGAAGGGACATGATAAAGTGGATAGCAACATTCAAGTACCTCCAAAGAGTCAGACAGGTCCTGAAGTAAGAAAAAGATCCAAGCCATTAACACATATGCCCTATCGGTTATCAGGTACCCAGCCTCTCCATGGCACTAATCCTAGCAGCAGCTGGAGTCTACCACATCGGGCAAGACCCAAGGTGCAGACTGTGCAAAGAGGCCTCTGAGACAGTCCAGTACCTAGTAGCTGGATGCAAGATGTTAGCAGGAACAGCATACACGGAGAGACACCGAAACTGCTGCACAGAATATGGATTGACCTGCCTAAGTCCAGATGGGAGATCCCACCAAGGGTAGTTGAGAATGACAGTATCCTGTGGGATTTCAAGATACAGACAAGCAAGTGCTAACCAACCAGACATTGTGGTGGATGTGGCAATACCCAGTGACTATATCAGGAAGCCCACTCATAGTCACTGGGTATTGCCACATCCAGTGGTTATGGTGCAGAGTGTCCCTTTAAATTCACTTTTATTTCCCATTATTTCTCAGTTTATTTATTGTACTGTGTGATTACTGCCAGTCAGTTAATGACCCCATTGCTGCCATACGGCCTGTGGCAGTGATGGAGTTAATGTGAAGATCCCCAGAGGATCCTGTGACAGTTGTTGGCAGCCATGACATTACACCAGGATAGAACACAGACTCCAGCCAGGGACTATACGGGAGCTCGGGAGGTTCAATCAACTCCAGGTGACCGCTTCGCCCAGGCACCGCCCACGGCCTCTCCGGATTGGCTGCCCGCGCTGTGCCGCGAGCTGGAGCGCGAGACGAGCTCAGTGTGTTTGAACGGGATGCGCGGCGTTACCATAGAGACCGCCCCAGCTGTTTCTGTCAGGCCGCACAGTGACGGTTAGCGGCGGCGCGAGGCAGCTGGGAGATACCGGGGGTCATACCGAGAGGGAGTGCGGGTACCGGGGGTGTGATACCGAGAGGGAGTGCGGGTACCGGGTGTGATACCGAGAGGGAGAGAGAGAGTGCGGGTACCGGGTGTGATACCGAGAGGGAGTGCGGGTACCGGGTGTGATACCGAGAGGGAGAGAGAGAGTGCGGGTACCGGGTGTGTGATACCGAGAGAGAGTGCGGGTACCGGGGGGGCTGATACCGAGAGAGAGTGCGGGTACCGGGGAGGGGGCTGATACCGAGAGGGAGTGCGGGTACCGGGGGTGTGATACCGAGAGGGAGTGCGGGTACCGGGGGTGATAGCGGCACAGTGTACGGTTACCGGAGGCTGGCGGATTTACTGTTCTAGATGTCCTGAAGGCGGACACTGGAGCCCCCGGTCTGGAGGGGAGCAGGGATACCGGAGGATCAGGGGGGAGGGTCTACATGAAAGCGGGATGTCTGGTAGCGTCTGAGAGTAGTGGGCTCCTGTTCTTGGGGCCGGTGTGGAGAATCAGGATATAGTTAGCTTAATGTTTTGTAAAGTCAGGATTTCGGGGTTGTCTTGGTGCAAAATAATGATTTTGGGGTGCGGTGGGTGGATATAGTGGTGTTCTTGTGTAAAGTCACGATATAATGATTTAGGGGAGCAGTGGGAGGATATATTAGTGTCATTTGCTATATGATAGGGATATAGGATGGGTCTTGGGGTGTAGAATCTGATGGTGAGACGTGCTTCACTGCAGACCTGGACCATACAATTTGGTGAGTAACCATTTCATATGTAGAAGTTTATGAACCAAACAGCATGAACTCTCAAACAACTTGCTATGAATCTACACAGAAGTGAACTAGCACACAATCTAGAAAACAAGAATGCCAAGAATCAAATTGCCCTATTGGAGTGAACAAAGTATCTTAAATATGCATTGAGTGACTGTTCTATCCTGTTTCTATTGGGCATCCAATTTGCAAGCATCTGCCTTCGAATAGATTAATTAGAAAGTAATTTTCTAATTTATTGAAGTGAAGATTTTAGCAAACCCTGTTATTTTTGTCAGCATTTTGCAAGTCAATTGTCATTTACCACCTTGTATTGTGCATATTTGATTACAACCCTTTATGTATCCTTTTCTTTTTTTTATTTGTGCCTGCATTTATTTGTGTGTGTGTGTCGTACTACTACTAAATAATTTATCGAGTGTCTTACGGCAATATCTGTACTGCAGTAATAACCCATTTCCTTTTGTAGTTTTTAGAAATTGGAGACTTCCATGTGGTACCTAGTATACCCCTCTCCCCATCTTCTGCCCAGAGTGTCCTAAAAAAACTGCAGCGATTTGGAAAAACATATATTTTTTTTTTTTTAAAGTAAGACTATTCAGGCAAGGGGCCAGCATATTGATGTCCTTTGGCGCTTGTATAGAAATGTAAAACCTGGATCTAGGACGATCCCATAAGACCGAGGGATCCTCTACAGATATTCTGTGTGTGATAAATGAGATGCCTTATTCACCTATTGTGCTAGGAGATGCTTGTTTCCATCAGCTGTTGAAATGACAAGCTGCTTGAAACTCTCCATATTGCCACAAATATGTACTAACATGAAACCGTGTTCTCTGCTTGACTCATGTATATCCTTTGCTTGCATTGGAATTTCAATGAAATCCCAAAGCTGTTGTGGCGGAACCGCTGCCTGTTCATGAATTTCCCGTTTTATATTGTGTTTCCCTATCCTTTCGTGTATTGTGCCTGCTCCCCGTTCGGGAGTGGAGTGCTTCCACAGAATTCATTCGATACCTCATTTAGAACCTTCTCACCTCGCAGCATAGGTGGGAAACTGCAAGGGAAGTAATTGAGTGTTTCCCTGGGTGGCCGCCATTCGTACCGACGAGCGTCAGCCAGGGGGAGCATTCATACCCCAAAAGGAGACGCTTCCCTTGTCTGGGTTTCACATCGGGACCTCGCGAATGGAGGCTAGCCGAGAGAGGAGCCGTTGTGCGGGTCCCTTGAGATTGGTATGGACACTTTTTGGGCACTGGCGAGTTTTGCGGGCTTTCCTGTGCCCGAGGGACAAAGAGACTAGCTTTTTATTTCCTGCGGGCTTTTCTGTGCCAGGTAGACAAAGGGGCAGTCCCCTTTTCCCGCGCCTGGACTCCCAGGTACAGAGGCTCCTGCTGTGGGAAACCCTGTGTTTTATTGGTAGGCTTTGGGAACAAAGGGAACAGAGTTCTCTTCCCACGCTAGGACCCCAGGGAGGGGGAGGATCATGGGATGTGACCCTGTACGGTTGTGTGGGAGACCCTTTGCATGGGGATATGCATAAAATCCGTGTGTGGCCAATAAAATTGTGTTGTCCAGTTACTTGAGGGGAAATGGGTCTCTTTATACTCTAAGTGGTTTCTGACCGGCTGAAGGAAGGGAATTAGCAAGGTAACCAGTCGGGTTACCCTGGGTCCGCTACAGTTGTCTTTGAGGTTTTTTTAAATTATATCTGTATAATAAACATTAAATAAATGCATGAAAGTGACCGTTATGTGTTAATGATTAACACATAAAACACAAATAATAGTGCATATGATATGTCTATATTAAAGGACCACTGTAGTGTCAGGAAAACATACTTGTTTTCCTGGCACTATAGTGCCCTGAGGGTGCCCCCACTCTCTTTGCGTTTTCAGTGGTTGCATTACTCCTTTCTTCGGGCATTATTGTGGTCTAACATTTTCTGCAACTCTTACGTATATACAACAGTAATATTTAACAATAAGTAATTGCATACAGAAATAATGTAGAGAGAAGAGGTGAATAAGGCCCTGCTCAATGAGCCTTTAATCTAGGAGGTCTGGACATAAATGAACTTTGTAATTCTGATCTTTTTTGCTTTTCTTTGACAAGTGTATAACTAACAAATGCACCAAAACATTACTTACTAAGACTGTTCTGCCATTGTATTTTCCCATTCCATTTTGGTTCTTTCTCTCTTTTGGTTTTGTTTTTTTTGTTTATAAGTTTGTCGCTTCCAATACATAAAAAAAATAAAATAAATGTATATATATTAGTGTGTGTATGTATATCTTCCCTGGCTCAAACATGAAAGCAAATGCGACAATTTATGAATCGTAATGACTCCATCTTACAGGTGGTATATGAAATTACTTTGTCAAGTGAGTAGCAGATTGAAATAACATTGTCATAGTATATGTTTGGCATCATTGATGGAATAATTGAAAGGCTATTGTGAAAGTTTAATTTGGTCTGTTTGGACATGCTTTGGATTGATGGGAGTTGGGAAACAGAGAGTAATTTATACTGGAGAAATTGGTTGGTGACCTAGGTTTAACTGTATTGACCTATGGTACTTTCACTTTATTTATAAAATATTTTACCAGGAAAGATACATTGAGATTTCTCTCGTTTTCAAGTATGTCCTTGGTCCACAAATCATTGCATTGTTACAATTAGGGTACAAAATACAACAACAATATTAATACACAAGAAATACAAAATTTATATTGGAACTTTGCAAATTTAGTGGGACCTGAATTTGTAGTTTCAGGATGCGTGTCATTTATTAGCTTGGCAATCGGCAGTAGAGCATCCGACAAAATAATTGTTAAAGGCATTTGCTACATCTAAGGGAAGTTGCAGGGTTTGGTTATCCACTTTGACAGTGGAGGGTTTGGAGTGGATTGGGGGAGTTTGTAGTTTATTTATGACTTTCCAAAAGTTTCTAGGGTTTGAGATGTTATTGTTCAGATTTTCATAGAAATTGGGCCTTGGCCAATTTTGTCTGTTTTGTGCATATATTTCGCCATTGTCTATATGCACAGTGATCATTCATAGAGCCAGTACGCTTAAACTTTGACCACAAAGAATCCCAAAACTGGTACATTTGGATGTTACAGCTGTAATCCAGTTCATATGTGCTCCTTTTACCCTCACCTTACGCAGCGGTGATCAGACATATATTTTATTTTAAAAAAAAATTCCCTTTATGTGATATTTATCTGTGTGTCTTCTTTTTTATCTAATGAATATATTTTAAACCGGCATTGTCACTGTCTGGGAATTTAGGTCTATGGAGAATCCCGCTGTCCATAGAGAGACCCAGTTCCCTGGGGGATTGACACTTCTTGACGGCGGAACTTCACCCATTGTCAATAAATGTCAAGCATAGAAAAAATACTGTGACAAAGTATATCTTTTGACTTTATTGGAAAAATTCCAGCGCAGTCTGTATGAGTATTTAATATAGATTCCATCTTTATGAAATACTTGATTTGAGAGAGGGGTGGGGTGGGAGGGTTTGTGGGTGACAGTGCTGCCTGAAAAACCAGAGACTTTGCTATAGAAGATTGCAGTATGTCCTTACAGAGCGTGAGTGTGAAGGTCAGTGTCAATACAGCTGTTGTTGAGGCAGCTGTCTTTATCAGCTGTGATGGGCCTAGCTATGCATAGCATGCTATAATTGGAGTAAGTGTGCATTAATAAAGTGATCAAAATAACTTAAATATGTAAAGTGATATATATTAGTTGAAAGTAATACCTAATGTTTTCAACTTTATTTCACAAGCAGGAATTTTGCTATGTGAACCTTTTTACCTTGTGTTCCTAATCTTTAGCAGAATGGATTTTCTTATAATTCTAATTTGTTAAGTAGTTTACAGTAATGTCATTTGGCCATTATGTCTACTTGCATTGTCTGCCAGGGTCGAGAATGTGGTATTTTTATCGACCCCTTTGAATATATTAAATGGCATCTTGTAGGGGTTTCCCCTCTTTTGTTAATTTTATCTCTCAAAGGCATTAGAGACCAACTAAGTGTGGGACCAACTCCTCCCAATGGGGTTAGATAAACAGTACTTCTCTGAATCCCCCATAACAGCATTGACAAAGGTGTCAACAGGACTGTCGCTACAAAAATGGAAAAGTGCAGGCATCACACTGATCAAACGATTACTTTTTCAGTGGAAAATGATACCATTCCTGCAATTACAGGAAAATATAATTTAACTTCTTGCTACATATTCCCTTACCTACAACTAGAATAGTGAAATCTACAGTTAGCATAAACTTGGGAACGACTAGAATATCCAAACCTTGTTTTTGTTTATTCTTAGCCAGATGTGAAATTAAGCCACAGAAATCTAAAACATTATCGGTTAGTTACAAGACCCTAGTAGAGGGAACACAGGTGGAAAAAAAATGGTAAAGAGTGATTTAAGAAAAGCCAAATGCTTCTGTCAGTTAGTTTAGAGTTCCCTTTTTTTCTCTGATCCAGGCTCCCTTCTGTTAGGTAATTCATTTGTTATGGCAGTTCTGAAGGGGTTAATTGTCCAGTTTCTTCTTCATCCACCTACTTTAATTTGTTTCACATATAAACAAACCTGCAGAAGTGCAGACCTGTAATTGCGTGAGCATCTAAGCCATTCACTCTCTTAAAAACATGTGAACTGACTCTTTGTGTTAAGTCTTTTATTGCTGTATCTTCCAGCTTGGCCCTGGCGTCTGCAAGATATAGTCATACATGTGTTAAAATCTTTTTACAAGTTCCAATTGATTAATTCCTCTTACACATATATACTGCAACTCTTTACTAAATCATGGAATATCACACATGTAAGTAATAGCCCAAGAACATCTTTTTGTTTTGCTTGTTTGTACTCTGATCACTCTGTTGATTTACAGGGCTGAGACAGTACAATGGCCTGTGTGGTTGTTTATTTACATATACATATCAGACTGCAAGGCTTTCCTTCACTGTTTAGATTTAGCATGGGAACTAATCATTTGAATGCCTTTTTGTTTCCAGACATCAAGCCCCTTTCATTTCAGGAATTTGTTATTGCTTGTTGTATATATGCAACAGAGATAGTGCTCAACTATACACACAAAGTCCAATGCTTTCATCAGTCAGATGCCCTGTAGATGGCAAGTGGTGTTACAGTTGAGGTTTTCTGTGCTATATAAAGTGTGTAAAGCCTGATTTGGGCATAGTATTATTTATAAAGTGCTCATAGCAGCTGTCCTTGAAATGTGGAGTAAGTGATTATTTCTCTCCCTTGACAAAACATAAATAAGTGTACCTTTTTTTTTTTAACTTCTTTTTTTCATATTGCCTACTACTCAAAAATATTAAAATATTTGGTCCAGATCTAATTGTCACAACCCGGTTATATAAAATACACAAAATCTAATGATGATAAAAGCAGCCTAGAACATCTGAGGATGAGAATTTGGGAAATAACATTTTGATCCCTGTTGAGCTTTTTTTCTTTAATACATCCAATAAATATACTTCAGATTATACTGCTACTATTTCTGCATACCATTTCTTTTCCTGGAGACATAGTGTTAATTCAGAAAAAGGTAACAGAACCACTACTATCTGAAACACATCCGGCATCTCCAGAGCTGCAGAATCCAGATTCCAAATCTGCCAGTCATTAATTGACTGAGAGCGTTGGCTGAGCTTTCTCAGCCAATGAATGACACTCGGTACAAATAATGTGCACAGAATTGGATGATGACGTTGCAGGAGTTTGACTTACATCTCTGACAACAATCTATTCTAAAATATCTCTGTGGAGGAGATCATACAGAAATGTGCACACACAGATTTCATGCACCATGGCCACTCCAAAACAAGTGTGTATATCATGCTTGTAGACTTTGCACTTGTTAAATTGGCTCTTTTTTCTATTATTATTATTTATAAAGCGCCAACAAGTTCTGTAGCACTGTACAACCTATCTGCCACAAGTTTTAATCTTGCAGAGAATTTGGCAGCCGGAAACATTTTATGTCTAACATTGAACTACGTCCATGACTGGTTAACGAGACTCTCATTAAATCTGGCGACACATTTTTATAATTGGCACAAGCAGTTTCTCTGTTTAGCTGTGGAATTTAAACAAATAAAAATTATCTACTGGCAACCAACTTTTCCTAAAACAAAATAATTTCGGATTAGAAAGTTTGGGGACGAGACTCCTACCTGGACATAAGCAGGGTTATTCACTAAACACCAAGTCATTTTTCCAAATTAAATACAAATGGAAAAACAGGTATAAGAAAAATTCTTCAACTCAATGCTATAGTCACAGCTGGCTATTTTTGTTTCAGTTTTTCAATTTGTATTTAATTTGATAAAAATTTGGAGTTTAGTGTCTTACCCTCTCGGCTGCCCCATAGTGTTTGTGGTGGCTAGGTGTAATGATTGTGTGTGTGTGTGGTTTTGTCTAGGTGTAATGTGTGTGTGTTGGCTGTATGTAATGTGTATGTGGTGTGTTAGTGGCTATTTGTAGTGTGTATTTGTGTGGTTAGGCACAGAGGTGCAGACCTCAGTAAATGCTTCTTACGGTTCCAGCTCTCACGGAGTCAAAGTGCAGGCTGATAATCCCAGCAATTGTGCCCTGACTCATTACAGAGTGCTGGACCGCAAGGAAGCAATAACTGTGGCCTGCTCCCACGTTGGGTGCAGATCACACACTCCAAACCCAGGCCCTGTCCTCCATATAGGAGCTCTGCCTCTTGTCCACTGCAAGGCTAAAGGCCAGTAGTAGAAACACTCTGAACACCATAACCATTTCATCTCAATTAAGTTATGGTGCCAGTATTTCGTTTGTTCTATCTTTCCTTTCAATGATCGACAATTTTAGAATAGCTTAACACAGAAGTAGTGTCCACAGGTGTCTGTCACAATGCCTCTACTCTGCTGCTTGACTAATGCGGAATGATTTGATTGAGCAGCAAAATAGTGCCCATAATAGGCTGATAGCATTACTGGCCACCAAAGGAGAGGCAGAATGACGGCTCCCTCAGAAAATACAACTAGAAGGTAAAACTGCTCCAGGGAACTCCAGTCACAATAACAACCTGATTGAAACAATAATAATAACATTGGGAACAAGCCCTAACTGTGTATCTCTTTACAAATGTTATTGAAAGTTTTGTATCTTATTTGCTGTGTATTTTGTTTTCTTTATAGTAAAGTGAAAATTTGAGCATTGTAAAGATGGCGTCCTGCTTGTTTGAGTGCCTGTGTGAAGCAGATCTGGATAAATACTACCCTCGTTTTATAGCTGTTGGACTGCAGAAAATTGAGGAGTTGGCGAAGATAACAATGAAGGATTACTCCAGGTTGGGAGTTCACAGCATGGAGGACCGAAAGCGCCTTTTCCAGCTTATTAAAATTATCCAGAGTGTTTCTGAAGTAGATAACCATGAGAGCACCCCTTTACAACCTGGCTGTGTCTATCTCCATCCCTCACTACATCGCTCTGGTACAAGGCGGCAGCTGCACTTTGATTCGTCCTTCGAGATGGACAGAAATGTCTGTGCACCATCTAAAATATGTGGCTTGTCTGACACTTATTCCCTGAAACGCCCAGGAGAACTATTTGAAATGCATCTGGTAGATGATCCACATCACACTGGAAAAATTCCCACATTAGATATCGATGTTGAGACTTCCTGCCGAGCAAAAGATCACAATCCAAAAACCTGTTCTGTGAAAAGCATAGGCTTAAGTACAGTTGACAGTGATGCCCCCATTATTCACAGGGTAACTCATGTGTCGGGATACAACTATGGAGTTCCCCAGACCTGCTCAAGGTAATAACATGCCAGTGAGAAGGGCAAGAAACCTACATTTTGATGAACAGCATATGGTTGTTGTTGTGAATAATAGGATATATAATTAATGAACTGCTGGAGAATATATCTAGTTATACAAAAAGCACAAACGGCTATGTAACATATATTCATATAAGCTAGTTATTCACACATTTCTAGAATACAATATTTATAGATGGGCATGTAAACCACAATATAGTAAAAAAAAAAAAAAAATGATCCACTGTGTTTATTCCATTGTCTGATGACTTGTGTGATAGGCATGCTTTATGACTGTGTTAAAATGCCATTCTCTATTCTCCTTTTTATTGAGCTGTGTTTAGATGGTATGCACCTATCTTTTATATCGCCCTCCTTGCCACTTTTAGCCAATCAAACGTTTTCTCTATGGGAAAGCGTTGGATTGTCTGAAATCCTAAATTCTGATTGTCAGCAAGGAGGCAGATTGTGGGTGAGGCCAGCGCCGGCAGACCCGCACCTTACCTTTTTAAAGGGGTTAGCGGGGGGGGGGGGCAAGCCACCAAAGTGGTGGTTTTATAGGGTCAGGAATACATGTTTGTGATTCAGTGCATTTCTAAAAGGAGGTGCTGATTGGCCATGCCAATGTTTGGTTCTGCCCCTGTCCCGCCCTTCTTATCGATTTTAACCAAACCACTGCTTTCCCTGTCCATTATTAACCTGTCCTATTGTGACAGGTCCTAACAGTTATTTACTAAAGTGACAGTTTCCTGAAAATTAGATTGAATTTAATATTTAAGGCCAAAATAGGTAATTTTGGTCTAAAATTTTGAAAACTGAACTTTACATCAAAGTATAACTATTATCCCAGGCGACATCATCTTGACATATCCTTGCTACTCCTCACTTTAGCGAGTAACACTGATTTTCTTAATGAGAGATCAGTAACTTTAAACTCCTTAATATTTCTTTGGTTTTAAGTGGCAGTACAGATCTACTAATTTCAAAATGCAATTTAACATCCTACTGGTATACCACAAACATAGACACCTGTATGTCTTTTTCTTTTTTCTATGAAGCGTGTGTGCAAGTGTGTGTGTGTGTGTGTGTATATATATATATATATATATATATATATATATATATATATATATATATATATATATATATATATATATATATATATATAATTATTATTATTATTATTATTATTATTATTATTATTATGTATGTATACACACACAAAAACATCACTCCCATGCATCATGTGCATATTTAAAATTGGACTTTGAGAAGTCCTTACTGGGCTTGTTTTCTCAACTATCCCAGAGTTCAGAGCTTAACATTCAAATGAGCACATAAAGGCATCGTGTTTCAGACTCTACATTGCTTTTCTTGCAAATAACCTTAGCAATGAACGCTGTTTTAAACACAGCTATTTTGAAACTAAAGAATTGGATATGATCCAAAGTGAAAAATGAACAGAAAGCAGACATAGACTGCAGTTTCAACCCTGTGGGTTTCATCAGCATGGCACTGGTTCTGGCTTGGAATCGGTGAGATCATATAGCTAGTTTCCAAAAGGATTGTGGCAAGGCCAAGTACGATAAACCCCTCCCATAGTGCAAATAGAAAAATGACTGCTATGTATCATCTCTATATCTTAAGTTGGACTCTGAGGACCCCTTCTTTGCCATAGAAACACAAGAAAATGTTTCCAATCTGCTCACTGATCCTTTTGGATCATAGCCCATACTTTGGTTTTTAAACCAAAAAAAAAAAAAATGAAGAAAGCTGCCCAACTTTAAAACAGTGCCCATTGAGCCCTGGCTAACGGACAGGAACATCCCTCCTTTTGGAGGAACCCGACTGATCCTCACCCACAAATCCTGTACAACCGTCACAGTAATGCTGCTACAAGACTGCGTTATTTCAATTGAAGTTAGTTTTACAACATATTGTACTTCTAAACTCTGTCATGACCTTTTGTATGTTATTGTTCTTAATTACATAAAAACTCATAAATAATCTTTACAAATAAAGCAAAAAACTGCTAAGGGTATCTGCAGTAACACAGTATGAAATCTGAAACACGATGCCAGCTTATTTGTATGTCAAACTAACTCTTATTCCTATGCCCAAGTGGGACTTCTCAAAGTCCAACTTGAGAAATGCAGGTTATTCATAACAGTAATTTTGTATTTGCACTGTGGGGAAATTTGTTGTGTTTGTTCTTACCACAATTATTTTGTACATCTAATGTACTTGATACATTCAATTAGAGGTGTTTTTTTTTTTCTTTTTATTTCCTGATCACTTACCTGTCAGATCTAGCGCCTCAGAAAAAGATGGACCTTGGACAGAAACGGATAAAATAAGAGTGTGTGTCCGCAAGCGCCCTCTTGGTTTGAGAGAAGAGAGACGAGGGGAATTAAATGTTGTTACAGTGGAAAATAATGAGACTATATTAATTCATGAAAGAAAAGAAGCAGTCAACCTCAAGGAATATATTCTCCAGGTATAGCATATAATAAAAACTATAAATGTGTCCAGTGCTTTTGTGTTACATCTATAGAAACATAGAATGTGACGTCAGATAAGAACCATTCGGCCCATCTAGTCTGCCCAATTTTCTAAATACTTTCATGAGTCACTAGCCTTATTTTATAGTTAGGATAGCCTTATGCCTATCCAACGCATGCTTAGCTATCTTGAATAATGTCTTATGTTCGAATTTATTTTTAATTTTTTTTCCTTTCCACTTGTATTCCCACTAAAGGCATGGCATAATAGCTTTTCACTGGAAAATGCCTTCATAATATATATTACCGGTACATTGTGTAATTTTACTTGAACTAAAATCAGTTTCTAATGGATCCTTTTGTAGTGATGTTTTATTTAATTAAAACATAAATAAAGAGTTTCTAGATGCTAAAATGGTGTAACCGGATACCTGTATTATAAAAAAGAACATATTACTACTTTAGAAGGAATTTTATGCAAATGAACAATCTACCTCATTCTGAGCTAGTGCAGAGTCTCAGTATGGTATTTATTTCCTATACCGTCCAACACTGGTACAAGATGGGGTAAATAATGGTTCAGAAGGTGACTTGTGGCAGCAGGTGCGTCAGCTAGACAGTCAAGCTAAAATGGCTTTGTGTAGCTGCTTTACAGGGTTTTCTGTTTTCCAATAAAGTGGAAAAACAGAGAAATTAAAGAACATCAGGACAGGGGTGTCCCATATTTGTTATTGACCCATTGAATCAGGGAATGTTCGGAAGTATGTTTATATTAACGACACAAAAACATCCAGTCTCTGATAAATTTTTTATAAATAGTACACCTTTCAGAGTTAATTTCACACTTTCTGCCTGACCTTCCAGTGTAAATCTGGCAGAAATTTGAATATACAAAACATTCTTTATTTTACTTTGTACACTTTTTTTTAAGCCTTGTTAAATTAATTTTTTTCATTGACAATATTCTTATACTTTTTCAGCATGTATTTTATTTTGATGAAGTCTTTAGTGAAACGTTCAGCAATCAGGATGTGTACACGAAGACAGCTTATCCTCTCATTCAGCATGTTTTTAACGGGTAGGGATATTGCCTCATTTCATTTATTGTTTCAGTATCTTTGTTACACCATCTCAAAACATGTTTTGTTTAGCTTTCATTTTACACTGTTATTCTATATAGGACTTATTAGGACATTCAATGAAACAAGCAGATTGTTTCGTAAGATGTAATACCAGCACCAATCATTTGTTTAATTGGCTGACCAAGAAAATGTTATTACATTTAGATAGCAACAATGTTTTTTATAACTAGGATAAGAACATTTAATGTTAAAGAGCCAAGCAATGCAGTACAAATGCATTTTATCCTGACTATAGGAGCACTCCATAATGAAATTTACCCATTTATTTTTGTGTTCATAATACATAAAAAAATACATTTGAGGAAAAAAACAAACAATCCAAAATAATAATTTAAACTACCTTTTAAAGAAACACTATAGCGTTGGGAATATTAATATGTATTCCTAAAGTTATAGTGACCTGCTCACAATTTAGGAAGCATTGGGAAGCTAGTGTGCATGAACGGCAAAATGCTGGGCTTGCACCAATTAAATGGTCTCTCAGAGCTCATCTGATTCAAATAGCAAAATGAATTCTGCTATTTCAGTGGAAGCACTTCTAGTCAGCGTGACAGCCATTAGAGGCGTTTTCAGCTGCAGGATTAAAATGACAGCGGCATGGCACCCAGATACTTTGTTGAGATGAAGTGGTCTGGGTGACCACAGTGTCCCTTTAAAAGCTGTTATTGTTCTGTAAATCATACACATTACATCATAAGCCCTATACTTGGCCTAGTTTATGAGTAGCGTTTACTGTAATTCCTTGAAATCTTTGCTGTGCTTTGTGAGGTATGAAACTTTTTTTAACATGCAACATGCAAAAAAAAACCCAAAACTATATAAACTTTGACATGCAAAATTAACTGATAGGTATTGAGGACAAAATGTATAATTTGTATTTATAATGCATTAAAGGGAAAACTGACAAACTTACCTTTCTTTAATCGCTTCCTCTTTTCTTCCTCTCTCAGGATCTGTTCTCCGTTTCTTCCTATCTGAACTAGTCTTCTTTAAAACCTAAGACTACTTTGTCTTATGTATTTTTCCTACGCTATGACCAGCAGAGGAGCAAAGTGTGCTCCATTCCCTGTGGTCAGAGAAATTTTCCCACAATTCTCACCTTTCCTCCGTGATCTCGTGATGCTTCTTGTCAGTATTCCCGAACGTCCTGTCATTTAGACAGAATGCCAGCGAAACTACAGAATTGCATCCTAACAGAATGAGAACAGTTTGTTCATTCATGTTAAGACGGCATTCGGTACTTTTAGGTCGGTTCAAAATTTCATTAGAATGAATGAAATTCCCATCCGATTTGTGCCACGGCTGCATCTTGCAGCCACTTAGTAGATGGCTCCCTAATTCCCACGATGTTAGGGAGCTATCTACCAAAAGGCTGAAAGACCTAAATTGGTCTTTCAGCCAACTTCACTAATACTAAGTAAAGATTACTTGGTATAAGTGATTAATCTGCCCCTACTCACTATGCCGTGAGTAGGAGCATGTCTACTAAACAGTGAGGAGCCAGTGGCCCCCCCGCTAGTTAATAGATGTCCCACCATGGGCATAGCGGCAGGGTCATTCGGGAGGTTTCAGTCTCCCTTCTGCTGATATGGAGATCAATATGACCCCCATAGAGTGAGGGAGGACATGGGGGAGACTTAGGAAGCTGCGCGCCTGTAGCTCCTTCCTCGTAATAAACTGAATGAACGAACACCGATATTTGGTGTTTGTTTGTTTGTCTGAAACTTCTATTCATTCCTTTGTCTTTCTGACGAATGAATGAGTAGAGAAAATTCCCGTAGCGAATGCCCAAGTGTTTTACTGGGAATTTCGCAGCGCTATCTAGTGTGGGCAGATGGCGTGTCCCACATGGACTTCATCTACCCACACAAAGATGGCGGCACCTAGGTCCAGGCACAAAATAAAGATTAAAAAATAGGTAATATGGGGGGCTTGTGGGTGACTAGGTGGACAATTGGATGTAGTGGAGTCGGGAGAGGGGTTAAAAAAAAACTGGTTTCGGCCATGACAGTGCCACTTTAAAGTGTACTACTGTCTGAATTGTCCCTTTAAGAGCCAGAAGTAAATTTATAAGAGTTCTAGTATCCACATTTTTGTGATTTTTTTCCAAACTTACTCTTTGTTCAAGATCTAGTTATGTTACAAAAAAAGATAGAGATCGGTGATAACATAACTGTATTGATTAAATTTTTTGTATTTTTATTGATGATTAAACCATTTGATTTCAGAGGGAATGCTACATGCTTCGCTTATGGTCAGACAGGAGCTGGTAAAACATATACCATGATTGGTACTCATAAAAACCCCGGCCTCTATGCTCTGGCTGCAAAGGACATCTTCCAGCTTCTAGAGGCTGAAAAATCAATAAAGGACTGCAGTATTTGGATCAGTTTTTATGAAATCTATTGTGGGCAACTGTATGACTTGCTTAATGGAAGAAAAAGGTACAGGAATTGTAATTATACTGTTGCTTTTGGCTTTTCTCTCCCCATAATCTGTCCTTCTTCCCCCTCCATACCACTAGCCTTCCCCTTCTCCCCATCATACCCTTCTCTACAGATTACTTCAAATGGTCATTTTTAATGCAGAATAATAGTTTCAATCATCAATATCTTTATGTATTAAGAAATCAACTGTGTCCCCTGCCTATTAGATAAAGTTATACTACTAGTAAATTATAACATTCACCATATTTCTCTTTGTAACGGATATTTGACTGGCATATGCATGTTTCATCCACTTTGTGCAATCTTTATTCACCATTCTCACAGGTTGTTTGCAAGAGAAGACGGTAAACATGTAGTACAAGTTGTTGGACTGCGTGAAGTGCAAGTCAGAAGCGTTGAATTACTGCTTGAGGTATGTTATTGGCTTAGCCCTTAGTATATGGTATTTTGAAATACTTACCTGAAGAGAAGAGTACATACGTGTAAGGTTCAGTCGACTGTTTGGATTTCTATTAATGTTGCCTCAGAAGGAATTAAGATGGTGTTTTCTGGGCATGTTGGCTGTGTGAATAGTTTTTTCAAGTTGTATCTTTTTCCAACTTTGACCTTGCTCTATATTTCTTTTATTGATCCTAACCCATGCCTTAAAGCGGCTCTGTCACCTTCTGGGGATATTGCGTGTGTTACAAAGACGCCTCTTATGGTAACCGTTGGCAGTGAGGTGGGCAGTGAGGTGGGCACAGGGTCAAGGGAAAGGTGAGTTTTATTTACCTGAACCTGTCCCTTGGGTCCCCTGCCATCTTCTTCAAGCTTTATCATCTTCCTGACGCTTCATCTGGCAGGAGTCCACATCAGTGCTGTACTCTAGTAAATGCCTTAGAGTACAACATTCTTGCATATCCTACAAGACTGCAGGATCCTCAATCGACAGTGCCTTTTTACCATCACCTGTCACTAGTGACAGCTGAGGGCTTACAAAGCTTGACAGTGGTGGCTCTTCCTTTTTGTCAAGCGTAGGAAACCTACATAAGCCATAGTAGTCCCAAATTTATCTTATATCGTTTGACTAAATTGCAATTGCAATGAAATTCCAAGACAGTCTTTATGAGCTGCTTTAAAATTGTTCTCTCCAAGCTTTTTCCTTATTGTCTGCCTATTCCAAGCCTTTGCCTAGCTGTTTGTCTATTTACAGCCCTTGCATTTTGTCTGCTTATTAAATTGTATTTATCCTCTTATTTGTGTTGTTAGTTTTGAAGAATGAAATGTTTGGTGGTCTAAAAACCTTTTTAAACACAAGGAAAGTCCTCAAACCCACTGTTTCTACTTAATAATTGGGAAAACACAAAACCTGCTTTCAGCTGTACATCACTGCAAGTGTTGGTTGAGAAAGACACATTAATGTTTAACTTTAATAAAAAATTTCTCTTTTATAGGTTTTACTTCCTGCGTTAGCAAAACTGGTATTTTAATGTATTCAGCACCATTATTTATCCAGCAAAGTCAACGGCTTGTGACACATCTCCATGTCATTTTTCATTTGTAGAAACTACAGCATTTGATATAGCTTTCTAAAATATTTACAGCTTAGAAAATACCATGTTTGTAATACTAGATTGCATGTGGATTCCTATAGGTATTTATAATTCCCTTGCTGAGCATGATGGGAATTCCAGTACATTGCAGCGTTGAGAGCTTTGGATTCACTTTCTTCATCCATGTCTACAGCCAACACTAGTTGTTATTGTACTTGTAATGTGACTGACCCATTTTTATATTTTTATTTATTTATTTGTGTGTCTTCTGTTTTAATCATATGTGCAGATGATTCTGAAAGGCAGCAAGGAACGCAGTACAGGGGCCACAGGGGTAAATTCTGACTCATCCCGCTCCCACGCAATCATTCAGATCCAGATCAAAGGTGCAGGAAACCGGAAAATGGGAAGGTGAGACTCAAATCCTTTTTAAACCCTTCCAATATCTGCTTTTATCTCTGATGACTGATGTATGGATTACCAGTGGTATGTAAACACATTTTTAATGGTTGTTTCTCTGGGAGGACCTGTTCCTATTGGAAAACTAGAAAGGCTGCAAGATAAGTTTACCTCATTGAAGTGGTCTGCGTGCATTGTCCCTGTCACCATAACCCTGGAACCTAAAATATTGCATTTTCAGAAAAACTGCAATATTTACATGTCAGGGTTAAGACTGCCTCTAGTGGGGGGAAAAGTGAACTGCATTACAATTATACATGTTCGTAAAGTGCTGTATCACTTATAACAGAGGGTTAGTAAAGAGCTGATTTTTATACCACATAATGACAGGGTTAGAGCCAAGCTACATCACTGATACACAGAGTTAGTAAAAAGCTGAACTAAATTATATTTGATTTTTTTTTTTTTTTCTAGAATATCGTTTATTGATCTAGCCGGGAGTGAAAGGGCATCTGATGCCAGAGAATCTGATAAACAAACCAAGATGGAAGGAGCAGAAATAAACCAGAGTCTCCTTGCTGTAAGTTGTGCTTCGTAATCCTTATTACAGAATCCTCCTGTTGCTTCCTTTCCTTTTTTTTTTTTTTTTTTTTGTATACTGATAGATTCAAGGATAGCAATATAAGGTGGGGTATATGCTGGTCTTATTATAGTAGAAACAAATTTCTCTCCCAGGGATCTATTCGGTTCCTCAAGATTTCTGCTAAGACACTTAAAATGGCAGCTCTCTACTCCTGCACCATAAAGTGTGTGTTGAGGGGGAAACTTTATTAATGCCATAACCTTGGTTCTTTCTGTTCAAGTAGCTATTGCACTTGTCGATTTAGATTAAACAGGCATATGGTGTATTATATATCCATTGAACCTCTTCTTCTCTTTTAATGCTCTTTAGCTGAAAGAATGCATCCGTGCCCTGGACCAGGAGCAGGCACATACTCCGTTCCGGCAAAGCAAGCTAACACAGGTAATGTTGGGGACGTTTGTGTAAATTCTAGGCTCTCTGACCTTAAAATGATTTCATCTGACGCCTGCTGGTTTCTGTATTCAAGTATGGAAAAATGTCCTAAGAAAATATAGTGTGTAAAATGGGAATTACATATTTACATTGTCATAATCTTTGTACGTGATTTGTGAATTTTGATTTCTTCCAAGTAAATTATACACGTAACTGCTAAGTGAGGGAAACCATAACTTATGTATATCAGGGTGCCCAAAAGGTAGATTCCCAGATGTTTGAAAACCGCCTCTTCTATTATGCTTTGTCATTCTAAAGAAGGGATAGACAACCTTCGGCACTCCAGATGTTTTGGACTACATCTCTCATAATGCTCTTACCCCCATAATACTGGCAAAGCATCATGGGAGGTGTAGTCCAAAACATCTGGAGTCCCGAAGGTTGCCTTTGCCATTCTAAAGACATGCAAAGCATCACGAGACTTGTAGTTCTACAACATCTGGAGAACTACATTTTGGGCACCTCTAATGTATATTACTGATTGATTGAACTGGAAAATACTTACATACTTTTCGCATTTTCTAAACTGTGCTTCACACACTCATGTTCTTTTTTTTATGTATAGGTTTTAAAGGACTCCTTTATTGGAAACTCCAAGACTTGCATGATTGCTAATATTTCTCCAAGTCACATAGCTACCGAACACACACTAAACACACTGCGTTATGCAGACAGGTAAGTTCAAAATGAAATGGAAAATTTTAATACTCATGTCAAGGTAATGTAGCCTTATTGAGCCATGTACTTTATGCAAACAAAATAAATGTTCTTACCGTTTAGTGTCTCCTGTTGATGCACAGTTTATAGAAGAAAGTTGCACTTTAGGTCCACCCCTTCCATATCAAGATAAGATATTTAGCTCTTTATACAGGTCTTTTTGGGTCTATGCATATCCCATAAACCCCAGGCTTTAAGTAGTTTACACCCCAAGAGCAGTTATTTCATCACGTTGAGTGGCACCGCTCTGTACACTGCTGACAACCTATAGTAGCTTTCGTAGCTTTTACATGTAGTCCAGTTAACTATGTTTTGAACCAGTCTGCATGCGTGTGCAGTCTGCAGTTCCTCTCACTCTGTGGGAAAAGAGAGAGCTCAGCCCAAGATGTGCATGTGACACGTGCAGACTTCTTGGACAAAGCTAATATTAGGTAGCTGGAACTGAGGGTTTCTGTTATCAGCTCTGATGACTTTGATGGGATTTTCATAAATTGTGTCCGTTTTGTAAGCCACTCTCACAAGATTCAGGGTACTTTCTCCACCATCAGCTTAAAGGGACAATTTAATTTAGAGAGACCATTAGGTTTCCTACTTTAAATAAACAATGAATTTAAAATGTTATGCAGCGCATCTCATATGGTATATGCAGTGTAACTGTGCAGTTATTCTGTTTTGTTTTCCCCCCACATTGGTGCCTAGCAACACCTCTAAAGCTCTGCATGGAAACGCTGAACTTTCTCCATAGAGATGTTGATTGATGCTTTTTGCAGATTTTTGGCTGATTGTGGCGTTTTGCTGCACTTGCACAATAGCCTCCCAATTCTTTCCTATGGGAAAGAACTGGATTGGCTAAGAGAATCAAGTTTTATGATCTCAGCCACGGAGGCGGAGCCAGCTGCGGTGAGACTGGCACAGCCTGGGAGAAAAGTTGGTTAAAAACACTTGTCACCTAAACAGCCACGTCAGAACTATAGTACATGTTTGTATTCCTTACACTATAATGTTCCTGTGGTTTTTGTTCTGCTGTTGTTCCTTTTTTATTTTAAATAAACAGTAAACATGGTTTTGTCTGTTTACCGTATATATTTTTTATTTCTTCCTATTTTTAGGGTAAAAGAACTGAAAAAAATGAAATCTGCCACTTGCGTCAGCCGTGCCAGGGCACCCGCATGTTTGTCTCCAAAACGTGTCCAAAATTCTCCTTCAGTGCTTGGAGAAAAAATCTCCCCTAAGAAAGTTAAATTGGGACAACAATCCACCTCAAACACAACAAAAAGTAATCCATGCTCATCTGTCTTCCACCCCAATAATATCCCACTCTCATCTACTCCCAAAATCCACAGTAAGGTAAATAGTGTGAAAGCAAACCAAGCCTGGCTGAATCACACTACTCCACTTAAAGGAATTATCAACTTGGGAAACATTGTTAAAAAGAAGAATGACATTCTTCTTAACAATAAGAATCCAGTGGGCATTAAAACTGAGATTGTAAGTCCATTAAAAGGAACTGTCCAGGAGGATCCCATTATCTGCTACCAGCAGCCTATATCAATGCAGAGAATTCAAGCAGTGCCACCAGTACAGAAGCAAATAGTTTCAAGGACTACAATGTCCTTTGGAGACCATAAATTTAATACACCTATGCATGATGTTCAAAATAGTGTAAGGCAAGCTGGCACAGATCCAGGGAACTTAGGAAGACCATCTGTACAGCAGAAAGAAAGAGAACAACATCTACGTTCTTATCACCAGCAATTCCAACATCCTCCCATCCTCCAGCATAAGCTGCACTATCAACCGTTAGAAAAAATATTTGAACTATATAACCCACAGGAGATTCACGTTGAGAACAACAGAAGTCCCCTGCCTCAATCACCATGTGAAGGAGCACTTCTCGAAGATCTCGATGACAGTGATTTTAGTGAAGACTCCTTTTCATATGCCTCTACTAATAAAAAAGGAGGGAAACGAGAAACTGCATGTGAAAGACTTTCATTTTTTCTTCACGATGGTTCTCCAGGATTAGAGATCAGAAAACCAAACCAATGCGATCGATTAAGCTTCAACTATGGACAATCAGAAGAATTAAACCAATGTGATCCCTGGAAATGCGGAAATACATTTGTTTCTTCAGATGGGAAAGTTGATAAATGTGCAGAGAAAGAATCATTTTGTAATTCTGAAGATGATTCCTGTGGTGTCTGTGAATCTTCAAAGAGCAGCAATACACCCGAAAAGCCATATTCCTCTCAAGAGGACCCAATAAGTAATTTAAAGAAAACAAAGCATTTATTATCTACAAACAATACTGCTAACGATATCACAGGGCATTTAACTGATTCAACTTCATTACAAGAGACAGGTCATCGAGGTTTAGAAACAAAGGAAAGCCGAAAAAGTGAATCTGAAAAGACTGAAGAAACTTGTGACCATCAGAGGACATTATCAGGGTCGGGCTCTGGGCTTATGGCTCCACTAACTCTGTCTCTTCTGCAAGATAACTGGTCAATGGAACTTATACAACACATTAAATCTCCTGAGTCTTCTGACAGGCAAAGTAGTGGTGCAAATAATTTAAATTGTGACAAAGTCTGGACAGTTGGAACTGAGATTGAAACAGCCAGTGACAGACCTAATGAAAGCTCTCCTGAAAGTAATTTATTTGGTTTTCTAAAGCAGATGCTTCAACAAAATGAACTTGGGGAGAGCTTCTCTGGGTCACACAGTGGTTCAAACAGTCTCATTTCAATTGGTTCTCCACAGTTATGCAAAGGACATAGAATGTCTGACAAAATACCCAGAGAAGGAAATGTAAGACCATTTTCACTTTCTAAGTCAAGTAACTCCTTAAGCAGGGATTCTTCTATAGACTTTGCTATTGGCCAATGCAGTGAACATCAGGCCAGTCCATACTATGAGGCAGACACAGAGGAGAGTACTGTTAAAATTAAGAATAAACAAATCAGTCCTAAATATGAGGAACTTGCATGGAATAAGTCCAGCACATCTTTCGATTCTTTAGAATGTACAAGTGGTCCAAATGCTGTAATTAAAAATGGACAGCCAGAATCCAGCAATCCCGAATCGGGACACGTTCATCAACCAAAGAGTGATGTTGATGTAGAGAAAAAATCTTTTAAAGAACACTTCAAGCTGACTATTAAAGATAGTGAACTGGAGCATCTTAAATCAACTCTTATCAAATGTATATTTTCAAAAGGAGGAGTTGGAGAAGAATTGCTTCCAAGCTGTGTAAGCACATCAGCTCAGAATCTTAGAAACCCTACAGATGGAAGCAGTCAGACACAACAAGCAAACCTTCACGCAAAGCACTTGGAGAAAGCCCAGTATGTTTTATTCACTATTGATTACTTTAACATATATGTACTATGTTAGTTCAATAAGGGAATCAGTCTTAAAGCCTAAACTCTTCCATAATCTGTATGCCACTTCTTTTTTTTTTTTTTTTTTTATCCATCATAACTTTTGGTATTTGAACTTAATGTTCTTATATTATAGTGCGTATGTGTGTATAAAATGCCAAGAAATTCTGTAATGTTGGATACACTGAGCAAAAAAGCAACAGAACTTAGTATGGTAGACAGAATAATAAAAACAAAAAATAACAGTACAATGTATCACGAGTCCTGACCTCAAGCAAGGTGAGACACGATCTGTGTCAAGGCTGCTTTCAGTTGGAAACCGTAGAAATATGTTTTCAATTGTGGACATTATGTGGGTATTAATTTTGTAGAGTAGTGGAAGGATTTGTAAGCTTCTTTACAGAGATTAACTTTGATGGAGTGTTTTGAAGGTGTTGAGGAACAAGGAGAGATGGAGTTCACATACAAGTTATTTGCAGATATGTGAACAGCTCAACAAGTCTTGCAGTTCAACTTGTAGGCTTCTAAATGTTTGGAAACTATAAAAAAATAAAGATTGAGAGAGTTAAGATAGTGGGGAAAATATGAAAAAAGACTGAAATGAATGATTAATTCTTAACTAGACTAACTGCCTGCACCAATGAGTAATGACCACCTTTTCTGCTCAGAGCACATAGCTTGATGATCTGTAGTGCTTTGAGGGAATATTAAATGCAAAAACTTACTGAACTATGGTGTAACTGTGCATTTGGTGAAAAGTTAGTACAATTTTTGATAGTTGGAAATCAGCAAGTGAAGTTTTTTTGAGTTTGTGGTCATAATTCTTCTGTCTTGTAATGATAAATGCTTCAAAGTTTTGAGTGGTTTGCCACGAACTTACTTGCACCATGTGCACGTACTGCCCCTTCGTCGAGTTGCGGGAGCCGAACGAATTGCTCAGCTGCACGGCTCCACTCCCCAGGTCGCACTGACCAAACACTTCACGCAGCTGTGCAACCTAAACAGGGAAATAAATATACTTGCCAACCGGCCTGTGCGAACAGCTCCCTCTGCTGGTTTGTGCGGGCCAAAATCCACACTTGCGGTTTCTTCCCTGTACAAATATAGCTCTCAATGCTTTTTGATTATAACATTTGTGTGAAAACAGTTTTAAAATAATATCTAGGCTGAATACCTGTTAGATATTTAATATAGAGATGGTGGTTTTGGAAAGTTTAGTTGATTCTAAAGTGTTTGGTCATGGTTTAAATTGGTTTTGATCATGTTTAAATTATTAGCTGCTCATTTTGTCAGTATAGTTTGATGTATATCATCCATAGTTTGAAATAAAAGATTATGCACGCTGACAACATATGCAGCTTACCAGACTGTGTATGGAAGCTTATAACAAACAGTGGCACACTCAACTGCAGTTGGAATGGATGGCTGTGTCCTTATTACCAGATTGGTAAAAATAAAAAGGAGAAGAGAGACAGGAATACACCCAATATGCAATCAATAATAGCCTTCCAGCTGAAGTGGTAGAGGTTAACACAGTAAAGGAGTTTAAGCATGCGTGGGATAGGCATAAGGCTATCCTAACTATAAGATAAGACTAGGGACTAATGAAAGTATTTAGAAAATTGGGCAGACTAGATGGGCCGAATTGTTCTCATGTGCCGTCACATTCTATGTTTCTATGTAATAGTTCAAAGAATCAGTATGTTCTTGTAATATTTATATACTGCTCTATGGCTCACAGAGTTGCAGTATAATGGCACAATACAATAAATAAACATGTACAGTGGAACCTCGGAACTCGAACTTAATCCGTTCCAGAAGGCTGTTCGATTTCTGATGTGTTCGGGAACTGAATCAACATTTCTCATAGGAATGAATGGAAATTTGATTAATCCGTTCCAGACATATCATGTACCACATTTGATCATGTACATCCAATCCTTCATGACTACTGTATCGCCAACATGCAGTCACTACGGTATTTGTGTTCACTTTTACAAAGAAATCTGCCAGCCACCCGAATGCCTAATGTGGAACAGTGGTGTCACAAAAGATTGCTCAATGGGCACTCACCTCTATCATGACCCCCAAGTTGCTGCCACTCATGTGGACAGGACTCATCAAGTCATATTTTCTAGCTGTCAAAGGCTGACCTGGCAGATGGCTCCCCTGCACTTACACAGAGTCCACTGCAGAGAGCGACAGCCACCGCAAGGGCACTGCCCATCGAAGTCGAAACGCCGACACAAGCAGCTTGTCCACCATATCCTTGAACCTCCCCATAATACTGCCTGACTTCTGATACTCAAGAAGAACCAGCAAGTGTCACTGCTTAAGATTACCATAGAGGTAAATGCCGCGTGATGTGTTCAGGTCCCGCTGATCGTTTGTGTACCGAGACATTTTGAACGCAAAATTTTTGTTTGAATTCTGAATTGTTTGGGAACGTTCAAGTTCCGAGGTTCCACTGTATTTAAAACTACTCTGTGATGAGATGCTACTTTCAGGATTAGTAAATATGTGAATGTATCCCATTGAATGCACAACAAATACAGTGTGTGTTGTTTTTTTAAATTAAATTTTAACTTTTGTAACTTTATAGGCAACTTGTTGTAAAGGCACACCGTGAACAACTGGATGAAATTGCTGCTTTGAGCTCCAGGGAAGAGATACTGCTGAGCCAGTTCCCACACTTGGTAAGTTCTTCAGCTCTTGATAACTGAATCAATCTAACAGGACATTCTACAAGCCTGGACCTACATCAAACATAGTGAACATAGGTTTATCAATCTCCATGGCTTTTATTTAATGTGAAACCCTACTGGTGTTATTCCATTAACAAAGAATTGGGGAGAATTAAGAAGGGATTGCAAATTTAAGGCCAGAGGAGCTCAGTTGGAAAAATACCAGAGTTGGATCATTTTCTACATTTTCTTCCTATTTTGACATAAAATCTGTGCATCTCCATGGGCATATTCTCCATGATTATTGGTTCAGTGATTAACTCTGAGTAATGCCATCTTACAGTGCCCTCATTCACAGTGACTGATACCAGGCCTACGAGCAGGGAAAATAGGTAAGATGGGCAATAAACAAACATATACTTGTGCCCTCCGCTTCACTTTCTTTCAGGAGCTGAATGCAAATTAGCTGTTAAGTAGTTTATACTGAGATCCAGAGTACCATGGTGTTGCACACAGAGGAATGAACTCTGATGTGAAAACCTGAAAAGAATCTGTAAATTTTGTTTAAATATTCTAAAAGTCGAAGGGATTTTTTTTTGCTTTATTTATTAATGTAATCTAAATGTCAGGGTGTTGGTTTAAATTAATTGTCGTTTTCTTATTGTGTTACAGGATTTTAAGGAATATGTGGCCAAACTAGATGAAATCCTGGTGTTGAAATCAAAATGTATCTATAGTATGCGGGCACAGCTACAGTTGTTTATGGCCTATCCACAGACTGCAAAACCAGCAAATAGGACCTCGGCATCCTAGCTGCTCCCATGGCATCAAAATTCATCAGTGAATTTCTATGCATGTAACTGCCTCCAGTAAATTGTCTGTAATTCTACATTCACAGAATCCTTCAGGTCAAAGCAGTTTATACATTCTTACTGTAACTGGGTGAAACTGTGAAAACTTTTAACAGTTGATGCAAATATATTTCAGGATTGAGCCATCCAAATGGTAAATGTGCACAGGTTGTACTGGCATACAGTACCATGTAAGTTATTTGCCACATTTGCTACAATCTGAAATTAAAATAGTTTTTTGATAAAAACACCTTTTTTATTGTAGCACAAAGATTAAGTAACCAAAAAGGGCAATTTTTAATAGCCATAGAATTTCCTTCTGAGAATTATTACCCTGCATCTACCAGCAATTTACTGCTGCCTTTTGGGGTAAATCTTGAACAGTTTTCTATTTTTACATTTTTATACCAAGTCTTAGAACCGATTTGCTCACGCTCAGTCAGGTTTTGGCAGGGGACTATTGCTAAGCAATTTACTACTTGATTGATCATTGCTAGTCAAATCCAACTTCACTCTATGGTTGCCTGACCAGAGTTATGAGATCATGTTATGCTACACAAAACGAACAGGATATATTTAATGTTGTTTGGCAGGTCAGTACTTGATGCGAGACACCATATTGCCGTATTTGGGTTTTATTTATTTTATTTAATTGGTTTATTATTTATGGTTGTCTTTTTAAATGCCCCTTTGTGTGATGTCTTTTTGTATGATTTTTTTTTATTTTTTTTTTTTTATGAATTGTGATTAGATTGTTATTGTTCTAATCTAGTTTAAGTTCTACATTTTACTTTCCTTTTTGAATCTGGGAAATCTTTTTGCTTTGAACAATCACTTTAAAGTTGTTTTTTGTTTTTTTTCCTTCCATGATTCAATAACGTATATTCTGTGCAATGTTAAGTTCAAAAAGCCAGCCTTTCAAGAGTTAAATCTATTAACTCATGAATAACCTGCATAACCAAAAATGTTAGCTTGTGCACTGTCACAAATCCCTATGCATATATTTTAATAACCAAGGTGTTTAGTATCCATTAACTAATAACCTGAATATCATGTGAACTAATCCTCAAAGTCTATATTCTATGCCTGACAGGGCTATTCAATGTGATATCAAGAGAATGCCATTGGCCGGGGAGTTGAACATTTTAGGCCAAAACACTGGAGCTGTTTTTTTTTTTGTTTTGTTTTTTTTTTTCACTATAATGGCCTGAAATTTAAGTTCCTGCTTTATTTAACCACCATATCAGATTTTAGACATGTAATTGTAAAACATAGATTACATATTGATTATCCAATATTGCTTCATTGATTCAGGAATAAAGAAAATAACAAATGTTAGCTGGACGCAACCCATTTTTCAAATGCAGTGTGTCTGTACACACATACACATCAAAAAAGTAAAATTGAAAGCATGAAAAGAAAATACACTTACAGATTTATTGAACTTCAAATTTAAGTTTAAAACGGGATACAGGAAAAATTCTCTAAGTCAGCAAAATTTTTAGTTTGGCTACTTTGGCCTTAAAGGGACACGATACTCACCAGAACTACTGTAGCTTAATGTAGTGGTTCTGGTGACTAAAGCATGTCCCTGCAGGCTGAGCAATGTAAACACTGCCTTTCCAGAGAAAAGGCAGTGCTTAGATTTGTGCCTAGTAATACATCTAGTAGCAGTCACTCAGTTAGCCACTAGAGGTGCTTCCTAGTCCAGTGCAGCATCTGTGTTCAATGTATGCACGCTGCATGGAGATGCTTAATGCTCCCCATAGAGCTGTATTGATTCAGTGCTTCTCCATGAGGAGATACTGATTGGCGCAGCATGGCGTTTTCACGGAAGCACAATAGCCTTTCAATGTTTTCCCATGGGAAAGCAGTGGAGTAGCTGAGATAGTTAAGATAGATGATCTCAGCCATGGAGGCAGGGCCAGCTCCAGCAAGGGAGAAAAAGTACGCTAAAAAAACCTTATTTCTCTACTCTGATGGGGTGCATGGACTCCAATAGGTAGTTCAAAACTCTAGTGTTAGAAATACATAAATTTGAAATTCACTTTGAATTCTCACTTTGGTAAATACACTGCACAAGCAAGTTACAGGAGCAGACAGTCCCCTTTGAAACCAGAAAAGGTTCAGTAGCCTCTCATTATGGTACAAGGTGTAATCTGGCTGTTCAGTGTTCCAAAAAGCTGCTTACTGCACATGCTCACAACTGTGGTGTGGACCCCGACACCTAGACAATTTGAACAGCATGCAGTCACTTTGAAAAGCAAAGGAGATATTTTAAATCAGTACAAGGGACAAGGGATAGTCTTATAGCTGTAGCAAATTACAAGAAAATTTATTTAATCACTTAACTGGAAGTTGTGGGGAATTGTTAACTGAAATGCACATTAGGTGATGTATTTAAAATATGCTGCAGTAAAAGTTATGCTTGAAAAAAAAACAAAAAAAAAAAAAAACTGTGACAGTCATATTTGAAATTTGCTCTTTCAGTGTGGTTATAATTCAGTTAAAGCCATAAAATTCAACACTAATATCAACTCACCACAATTCCTGTTCTTACCGAATTAACAAAAAAAATGTATTTGGTGAGCTGGTGTTCTCAATGCTATATACGGTTTGATTGATGTGACTGTTGGAGGAGTGTCTGATGGCTACTCCTGTTAATACTGGTCATTTGTTATGGCAGGCTGACCTAATTTATGAGATCTAAATCCTGACAAATCCCCCTTTTTAGACTTTACAAATTATTAATGTTTAAAGTGAGAATATCATGCAAAAAAATTACATTATACAGAATGATATTCTATATCTGTAGTCTAGCTATATTGTCACCAGCTGCCTTGCTCAGCTAAAAACAAGCACATGTAATTAAGATTATAATCTTAATTACTTTTTTTTTTTAATGTATGAAATCTGACCGTATTGCTTTAAACTATTTTACAGTCAATAATTGTATGCTTTGTCTTGGGATAATAAAATATCGCCTGGGTAGTGATCCCTTTAATAGGGCATCCAGGAATGAGTGATGCTAGTTTAGGGAAAGGTCACCATCCAATCAGGATGTATGGAGTTAATTCAGGGCTCTAAACCATTTGAATTGGCTTTCGCTGGCTTACCTCGTTATGGTTTTTGTATGTTTGTTTTGAATGATTTTGTTTATTAGATACTGAACACAGTCGTAAACTCTTTACTAATTTATCATGTACATGTTCTGTTGTGTGTGTGTATATATGTGTTTTGTTTGACAGTATACATGTACAGTAATCAATGTTTTGATTTAAAGCTGTTTCTGTTTCTTCAGATTGCCTCCTGGCATTGTGAAATGTCTCTCTGCACATTGGAGTATCAATGCATATAAAAGGGGCATGTAAGCCATACATGCCACTTGTACATTGCCAAGCAGTCCTGCAGATACAGAGATCACTTGCCAGACAGACTGTACATTTTATGATGTTTTTTTTTTTTCTGGTGTCAATGATGGACATGTCAGCATAAATGGAAACATTACCAAAATATCACATATTCATCTAGATTTCAAGCCACATGCCCCATGCATACCACTGACTCAGAGAAATCAGGTGCTGTTAGATATGTTGAGCTACATGCACTGTGACCATTAGTCAATAAGGCTATATGGTCCTGAGGTAACAGTAGAAAGACAGTGTGTGCAATAAATGTACATGCATCACACTGTGCTGAAAGTCTGCTCTTACTGCGGTATGGGAAGACTGCATTCAGGAAATATGGATCTTGGGTGAAAAATCTCCTTGTCACCGTTAGGAGACACATTTAATAGTGATAGGTCCTGTGACATCTTATTAGATATGCATTATACCTGTGCTCATGGTCTGCAAGAACAGTAGGAGTATACCAGCAAAGCTAGTGTTTGTTTCATGCCAGTTTAATTTCCATTACAAAATGTGAAAACTAAAGAAAAAAAATCTTTATAAATAGATTCTATGTACGTATATAAATTATTGAGCAGAATAATAAGTTTACATGTACCTTCATAATATTCAAAATTATTCACTGATGGGGAAAAAAAAAATGTGCAACATGGTTATTTTTTATTTTACTTCTGCGTTTGAAAAATGTTGCCTTTGAAATTAAAAAAAAAAAAAAATATATATACTGTTTAACATGGCTTTTTCACTTATATAATAAATGCTAATTTTGATCTCTTCATATCAAATCATTATTTACTTTACCACCTTCCTTTCAAGTCAATGACTTGTGGAGGGGGACTGCCATTTTAAATCTTGTTCATATAAAAAGTTAGTGGTGGGAAAATATTGGCTAAAATTAAATATATTTCACAAAACCTCAGATGGCAGAAAACGTGCTTCACTACAGAAGGGCTCCCTATTCAAATAGGATGGCAGTACTAATTTGCATTCGGGCTGTAATACATATATGTAACTGATATTTCCACTGTTGCATGTTTACAAAAACTACCAGTGCCAAATGTTAAAGTAACCATCCAAACCCTCCCAGAGTAATTTTTCAATCCATTTCAGAATTATTTGATCACTTATCAGACACGTGCTCTGCGTCCAGTTTTTTCCTGATTACAGCCAGATATAGTCAGCTGACTCTCATACAATGAGAGTATCCCTACATAGCTCGATGGAGCTTACCGGATTTACCATTTCCTTGCAAGGAGAATATGGAAAACTGGGCTGCAGTAGCAGGTGCATGTGGGACTCGGGTAAGTTTACTCTGGGAGGATGCCAGCCCACTCCTGGTACCATAGCCACAATAGAGGGTTGTATTCAAATATTGAATTCTGTAATATATCAAACTGAATGGGTAAGTTCAGTAATTGTCTTTTTAAGTCTCTCTACAGAACAGTACAATAAGTTACAAAGCTATAGGTTGTTATGGAATGAAATTTCACAAAATGTATAATGGAAAGATTATTTCTTACAATGCATTAAATTCTTCAAACTTAATCTGCCCTGGAAGTTTAAAGGAGAATCTGGAGAAAGAAGTAAAAAGTTGAACTAAGAAAAGTATTACAAGAGTAATGCCTTTGGAGAGAGAGATACAGAAAACATTGAGTAAGTGCTGATAATTTAAGGGATTTAGTGGAATAATTACCAGGTTGTACTAATTTCATGACGTAAAGTCATGATTTTATTAAGGACACGGAGGAGAGTATTATGCTTTATCTCTCTTTAATCCTCAGCAGCAAAGAAAGGATACTAAATATTTAAAGAAAAAAAAAAATAATACAACATGTACCTGAGAGAGCTAACCATAATGCAAGATATTACTCAATAGGAATGTTCCTTGCACTATAATGTCCCATGTGACTTTAAGCCACTCCCTCTTTCATACTGGTGCCGACGAACATTCCAACAAGACCGGAGTAGACAACCAACTAGATGTGAAGAACAGTGACTCCGGGATAATCCAACAATGGAACTTGGAATAAAACTTGCACACATCCGTTCGAGAGTGTGAATGACCAATGTGGACTGATGTGAAACCAATTAGGAGGCTGTAAAGACAAAGAAATAAGTGGTAAAATATGCCCTTGGATATTAAATCCTATTCGCAGTGCATCTAGTAACAAAGTAGTATATCCAATTCTTCAACATTAACATCAACAGAAATAGTTCAATTAGGTGAATAACCACATTACTATGACAACTGTATACTTCTCCTGAAATTATATATATATATATATTACACACATACACCAGGGAGGGTGTACTGTGTCGGGTGGGATAATTCTCGCCTCCGTGTTCTTAATAAAAATCACGAGTTCCCGTTGGGGTCCAGTAGTAGGTCGGAGTAAACCGGGACTAGCTGCTGATAAACTATGGACATCTCCATGAGGGTAGGGAACCATGGTTGAGCTGTCCAGAACGGGGTGATGGGGATCAATGAGGCCTGGGAGTGTCTGAGGTGTAGCAGCATCCGGGCAATCAGAGAGAAAGGTGGAGAAGCATAATGGCACATGTTCGGCTACGATTGTAAGAAGGCATCAGTTGTCTTCTTACAATTGTGGCCGAACATGCGCCATTATGCTTTTGCATCTGGTCTCAGCTGAAGAACTTTGGGAGTTCAAGCAGGATAGAAACATAGAATGTGATGGCAGATAACCATTCGGCCCATCTAGTCTGCCCAATTTTCTAAATACTTTCATTAGTCCCTAGTCTTATCTTATAGTTAGGATAGCCTTATGCCTATCCCACGCATGCTTAAACTCCTTTACTGTGTTAACCTCTACCACTTCAGCTGGAAGGCTATTCCATGCATCCACTACCCTCTCAGTAAAGTAATACTTCCTGATATTATTTTTAAACCTTTGTCCCTCTAATTTAAGACTATGTCCTCTTGTTGTGGTAGTTTTTCTTCTTTTAAATATAGTCTCCTCCTTTACTGTGTTGATTCCCTTTATATATTTAAATGTTTCTATCATATCCCCCCTGTCTCGTCTTTCCTCCAAGCTATACATGTTAAGATCCTTTAACCTTTCCTGGTAAGTTTTATCCCGCAATCCATGAACCAGTATAGTAGCCCTTCTCTGAACCCTCTCTAAGGTATCAATATCCTTCTGAAGATACGGTCTCCAGTGTTCTGTACAATGGCATGAGCACTTCCCTCTTTCTACTGAGGGAATGTGAATAGGTCAATATCCAGAGGGCCCCAAAGTGACTGTAAACTGAGGAAAACGTAAGGGTCTTCAGTCAACCAGTCTCCAATCGCCAATTGTACCCAGATATTGCGATCCAGGCAGAATGGTCAGAATTCAATATTGTTGACTTCATACCCCTGAGATGGTTGATGTAACAAATTGATACATTGTCCATCCACAGGAGGATGGTGCAATTGGTTGATACACCAACAAGGCTCCTTAGGGCAAACGAGACTGCTAGTAATTCGAGGCAATTGATATGCATTCTCTATTCTTCCATGGACCATTTCCCCCCGGTGGAGGTAGGTACACAGCGCGATTCTATTATGAAGTCCGGAGTTGTTCCAAAGGTTGCCCGTCCGTTCCATGCCTGCATGTGCTGTATCCACCATCCGAGTTCCTCCTTGGCTGTGCAGTCGAGAGGAACAGAGTCTGAGAACGAGTGACCCAAGCGAAGGTGTTTGGCTTTTAAGCGTTGAAGTGCTCTGTAGTGTAGCAGGCCGGGGAATATGGCTTGGATTGGTGCTGAGAGAAGGACGATGATTCTGGCCAGTTGTCTCAATGTCAGGATAGGTTGAGCTAACATGCAACAAACTTAATTCTTTATGGCCTTGACCTTGGAGGGTGGCAGTAGGAGGGTGGCCCCACATATGGAATCTATGGTGAATCCCAAAAATCCTATGAATTGAGAAGTTTCGAGAACTGATTTTTCCCAATTTATCACGGAACCTAGACTGCCTAGGAGAGTAATCGTCCAAAATAGGTGTTCTTGAAGCAGGTGAAGGTCCTGGGCTACTAAGAGGATATCGTCCAAATATATTATCAGGTGAACTCCCCTGCTGTGCAGAAGGGAGATCACCGGTTTCAGCATATTGTGAAACACCACGGGGCAGAAGAGAGGCTGAATGGGATGCATTTGAATCGCCACATGGTCTTTTCCCACCGTAATTACAGGACTTGTTGGCAATCTTCGGCCATCAAGACGGTGAGGTATGTGTACTGCAAGTCGAGTTTTACCATCTGTGGCGGACCGACTGGGTGCCTCTGCCAATCGCTGCTTCCTAGTATCACCACACTGGAACACTATAACCACTGTAAACCCCACAGCTGCAGGTTGGCTGGGGTCTTGCTGTCCTCCACCCACCCTGGACCCAAGTCAGGGATCCAGTTTGCAGTGGGTAGACGACTTCTACTCCAGAGGTTATACCAGGATTGCTCTTACAAGAGCTAGTGTTGTAATCCAAGGAAGTATAGTGAGAGCAATCCCCAGAGTGAATATAGCTGTCCCCTCCACACATGAGCCGAGGCTCTATGTTAAAGGACCACTCTAGGCACCCAGACCACTTCAGCTTGCGCGCTTGCTTTTCACTGTGATTTTCACAGTGAGAGCACGCCAGCGTCCATAGGAAAGCATTATGAATGCTTTCCTATGTGACCGGCTGAATGCATTCAGCCGACAGGGAGGAGGATCGGAGGAGGAGAGCTCTCCGCCCAGCGCTGGAAAAAGGTAAGTTTTAACCCCTTTTCCCCTTCCAGAGCCGTGTGGGAGGGGGCACCCTCAGGGCACACTAGTGCCAGGAAAACGAGTATGTTTTCCTGGCATTATAGCGGTCCTTTAAGGGTGAAGAGGTACTCTTTAATGGCTGACACAACTGGCCTTATATGCAAGTCCCCATGCAAGGTGTTTTCCATGAAACATTCCAGGGGCATTCCCCACTGGACCTGAGACTGGACTGTGACAAAGTACACACTGTAATTACATTGGATCTCAGGTCCAGGACACTCCCACACAAAACAGGGTAATCCCTCCCCGGTGCCTGAGAGATAGTCAGGCACTGTACTAAACTCAATTATCTCCAGGCATAGAAAACATACATTTTACAATAACCCAAAACTATCCCTAAACCACATGGAAACACCACAAGTCATATCCCGATAGCCCCAATCTGGGGGACCAATAAAAGAGTTCCATGAAATCAATGTTAACAGTCAGTCTAGTTCGGTAGTCTTTTACAGGTTTCTCTGCAGGGCCCATAGTCTGTGGGCAGGAGGCTGGCAAGCTTGCTCCTCCAGGAACTCGTGGCAAACTCATGTGGGATGGGGAGTTTGTCACACCATCCAATCCCCTGGTCAGAGGAGGTCTCTGAGAGAATGCATACCTTCCATCTTGAAATGGTGATATGCTAAAAACTCGTTTAGGGGTCGTAGATTGATGATCAGTCGGACGGCCCCTCCTTTTTTGGGGACGAGGAAGAGGGTGCTTAGGAAATCTGGAGTTTGAAGGTGAATTTCTGAGATTGGATGCTAAGCCCTGTATTTCCTGTGACACCAGGAACCGGTTGTGTGTGGAGAACACGATGCGGTTGGGTATAAACCTCTTAACAGGACAGTGAACAAAATCTATTTAATAACCCAGGACAGTTTGGAGGACACAAGCATCGATAAAATGACTTAGTCTGCCCCCACTGATAGAGA